GGGGGCGCAGACAGTTAAGAGCTATTGGGCTAGTCCAGTATGAATTTCATGAAGGCTATTGCAATAGGGATGGAGAGGTTAGAAAACATGGGCGAGCTGATAGGGTGGGGTATATGAGGCGGTCGTGTGGGGAGAAGAGCACGCAGAGGACCCATTCTGTGGAAACAAGGACCCCAGGGTGAGCGGGCGGCCAGTTGGGAGGGGACATGGTGAGTTCCGCTTGGCACCTTGAGTTGGAGATGCCAGGGGCTGGGGAGGCTCTACTACGCTCAGGTGGCAGGACATGGAGACGAGGATGGTCTGAGGGTGAGGTGGCTGAGGCAGGGCACTCGGCCTGCATTCCAGAGGCCCACGGACTCCCCAAAGCGGGGGACATCTCGTCCGCACCTGCATATTTCAGGCAGAGGATTTACAGTTCTCAGGAGGCTCTCTAAAGTGTTGGCGACCTCCCAAGACAGAGGCACCTCTGGCCTAGGCGTGTGTGGGGAACAGATCGAGAAAGGAGCCTGTGCCAAGTCTTGGATCCTACCAGCAGTGAAGGAACAGGAGTCCGGAGACGATCATGTCACAGGCTCCAAGAGGAGCGCAAGAGGCCAAGAAGAATGGAGTGGGCATCCCGGCTCTCTGGAGCTGGAAGAGAAGTGGCGAGGCTCTGTTTCCGGTTGTGCACGTCGTCTTTCAGGACGTCATCTGATGGGGCGGCGGGGGGCAAGAGCAGGGTGTGAGCACGGGGGTGGGGGGAGGTCTGATGGGATGAGCTGCTGACCCAGGGCAGATACAGGGTTTGCTGAGCTGTGAAGAGGCCCTGGAGACGGGAGACCAAACTTCTGAAGAGGTGCCAATTCCTACAGGTTGTGGGCTTTGTCCTGGCAATGCCCAGTCCGGGAGGTGGCTGGCAGGATTGACTGAGCGTTGCAGGTGGCTCTTTCTCTCCATCTGTAGCCATAGCAGCAAGATCAGCGTGGGCTTCTGGTACACTGACCCCTGACTCCCACCATGCCTGTCCAGCAAGAAACTCCCATCTCAGCATCTGAGAGGTGGAGCCAAGATGGAGAAAATCACAGCTGGGAGTTGAATCGACCTGACCCAAGTCTGCCTCTGCCTCTCGTTGACTCTGTGTCCTGGGACGAGTGGCCTATCTTTCTGAGCCAGTTCCTCATCCTCCCAATATATTGGGTTGTTGGAAAGGTCATGATGCATTTTTTCAACGAAAAACGTAGAAAAAAACACGTCATACTTTTCCGACAACCCAATATTATCTAGAAATAAAATCTGCGAAGCCCAGAGCCTGTGCAGGACCTGCAGGCCATAAAATAGAGTTGCTAAGACTCCTGGTATCACCTGTACTTGGAGCTCTGAGATGCCATGAGGCACCAATGAAGCCCTGACTTCTAAGCCACTTGGCAGTTCCCAGCTCTGATCCTGAAAAGATGGGTGGGCGGGAGAGATTTGAAAGCAGAATATTTTCATGGTCAGCGTCATCTCTGCCATATTGCTCTTTTGTACTTTTAGGACAATGACTAATATTTAAACAGGCATTCATACTTTTATTTCCAGGGCATGGTTAATCCCGTTTAAAGATCTGGAAGCTTCCAGGAGCACATTGTCGAATTTCACACACCTCCCGCCCCTGCCACCAGCAGGAATCAGGGCCTGTTTAAGAGTCTTTCCACTGTTTAAGCTGGTGATCTCATTGTACTCTCCTGCCTTATCAGCAGCTCCTTGCTGTTTGCTGAAAAGCCACCTTGAAACTGACTGGCACCTACAATGAAACAAGGAAAAACCTCCAGAGAATGTGATTAGTGCCAAGATAAACTTTTTCCGAATTGTGTTTGTGATAAGGAATGAATTGTAACTCCCAAGCCTGAACCTTAGAGCTTTATAGCTTTCTTAAATACATTTTCTCCCCCATACCTCTTGCTTCTTATTCTCATTTCACAGATGGAGGCTTTCTGGAAACAGATGGAAAACATCCAGCACTTTCTTGTGGACCAGTTCAAGTGTTCCAGCTCCAAAGCCCGACAGCTTGAGATGACTCTGACGGAAAGAATGATTGCAGCTGAAGGACTACTGCACGACTCGCAGGATATGCAGGCTCTGGTAATGCTGGAGGGACGGGGAGGGAACACGGAGGTATTTAAACTAGAGATGTGGAGTCAGGAAGCTTGAAGGACCATGGAGATAGGTCATTAAGTGGAACACCATAGTGTAGATGGGGAGATAGAGCCCAGAGAAAAACAGTGAATCCATCCATCCATCCATCCATCCATCCATCCATCCACCCACCCATCCATCCATCCCAGGCATGGAGATGCTGACAGCTCCATGTTCCTGAAGCAGAGAGCACTGGTTCTCAACCCTGGCTGCACATTGAAATTATCTTGGGAGCTTTAAAAAGTATTGATGCTTGGGTCCCAGATGGTCCCCACCCCAGACTGAGCATGGCAAGCCATCATAGTTGATGCTCATTGGTGTGGACAGAGCTTCAGTTTGCTCTCCTGACAACCCCATGAATCTCTGGGGAGCTTTCAAATAATGCCTATACCTGGATGTCAGGCCTAGAGATCCAGTCTAATGGGTTTGACGTGGAGGCCCTGGCATCACTGGTTTTAAAACTCCCCATACAATTCTGATGTCTAGCTGGGGAGGCAAACTGCTGGTATAGAGGACTCTGCAAATCCAACTTTGAATCTAGGCTCAGCCACTTGAAGCGGTGTTCTCTAGAGTTGGTTACTTAGTCCCTTGGAGTTTCAATTACTCTGTTTATAAAAGAGGGGTCCTAGGAGTTGGTGCAGATAGGACCCGGGGAAGTGCTCACTCGTATGACACCCTAGTCACCAGGGGGTTTCTCTGTGGAGATTGTGGGCTCCCCCTGCTGTGTGCAAGGTCCAGGACCCTCTACACCCATCTCCCCTTCCTCTGACCTTGGGAACTCATGAGTTTCATTTCAGAACTGTGCACCTGCCCAGGTTACAGTGGGCTCAGAAACCTCAGTGGCCTCCCTGCCCTCTGCTCGGAAACTAAACTCCTCAGACCTGAGGGGCAGGCCCTACTGAGGTGTAGTGGGTTCCTGCCACTTCTCCACAAACCGCCTTCTCCAAAGTGTTGTCTGTCTGCAGCCCATGGCATCAAGCATCACCTGAGAGCTGGTTAGAAAAGCAGGACCTCCCCCCGCCCCACCAAATCAGGATACACCCCTGGTGCAAACAGCTGTTTGAGAACGCTATATGTTTTTGCCCATCATGTACACGTATAGTCCTGGGCACTGCTAAACGATAGGCAGATGTCGTGTTCACAATGAGTAGACAAGGAGCCTGCGAATGACTCGCCCAGGACCCCCATCCTGTCTAATGACGTTGCTGAGCCTGTGCCCCAAGCTTCCTGGTTTGCTGTCCAAGCCCCTTTGAATTGGGTTTTAATTTGATAAGGCTGCTGATATTAATGCTCATCAAAGAAAACAGGCTTTTCCTTTTCTTCTTTTTCTTCTTTATTATTTAATTATTACCCTGTCAGCAGGATATTGATGCAGAAAAAAAAATGTATCCTTAGCTAACTCTGGCCTGAGGATTAGCCAGAAACTTCCAAATAGGAAGGGAAAGAATTATTCAGGTCCTCAGTATGCTGTTCCTTCAGCCAGCATTTATTGAGCACCTCCTGTGTGCTGCATCCTTTTATAGAAATGGTGTTGCAGACTTGAGCCAGAGACCTGAGCTCACACCACAGCCCTGCCACTTGTTGGCTGTATGACCTCGGACAGTTACTTAACCTCTCTGCAACTCAGTTTCATCACCTGTAAAATGGGGATCAGAATAGCACCAGCTCTGAGAGCACGAGACAGCGGACCATACATGAGGCCCTTAGCATGGAAGCTGGCACATGGGAAGTGCTCGTATGTGTTGGTGATTAGACTCCTGCAGGCCACACATCAACAGGCAGATACACATAAGTCTTCGCAGGGATGCTGACAAGGGCTACAATCTGTACAGAAGAGGGACGGATTCGCTCTGCCTACCTTCTAGGTACCCCTAAAAATGTATCTCGGGATACATTGTTGATAAACTCTAGCAGAATTTAAATTCTTGGGCCGGTGTTCTGAACACTTTGGCCTGGCCGGTGGACCTGGAACGTTTCACGTGGCGTGAATATCAGAATGGGAAGAGGCCTGGAAAGGGCCCGAAAGGTCAGTAGAGTCAGTCTCTCTGGGATGCCCGAGTGATGTGGGACTTGCCGTAGAGAATGGTGAGGACAGCTGGCATTCCTGAGCACTTACTGTGTCCTGGCGGCTACTTTAAATGCTTTACAGTTTGTAACTTATTTAATCCTCACAGCAACTCTGTAAATGAGGTGTCAGAGGAGGACGCTGTGCCCAGGGCCCTGTAGCTCTGAGGGATGGAGCCAGGTGTGAGCCCCGGCCCTTCTGAGGACGGCTACACTCTCAGAGCTGGCGATGGCCTCCTGCCCGATGTCCCTTTGCTCTTCCTGCTGTCCACCTGGTGCCCCTCTGCTCAGACTCACCTCTCTCTCCAGGCCTACCTTTCCTTGAATATAAACCCAGAGGTTTTGCCGTCACGACCAAGCCGGGAAGGCCTCACCTGCTACATCAGAGGTGGCCGCAGGGATGGTCGGCGCAGTCCTCCCCAGGCCACCCTGCCTGGCCCCTGGCAGTGCATTCCTGTCACCTACACTGTCATCCTGCGCTTATCTTCCTGCGCCCTCTAGCGGTCACGAGCCTGCTAACTGCTGGCAGGCTTGTTTCATCAGAGGAGAGGAAGGATCAAAGCCACTGTTCCTTGGGCTAGTTATGTGACCTTCCGGAATAAACTTCAGCATCCTTGTTTGTAACTGGGGACCGTTATCTTTGCCCCGTTCACACGTTGTGAGAACACAGACCCGTGCAGCTCAGCCAACAGGGAGGCCCAGGCCGGGCCGTGGTGGCTCAGGCTCCGTCTGTCTTGAAGGGCTCTCAGGGCAGCCTGGGACTGGCCTCATGTTTAGTTCCTCAGGACAGAAGGACGGGGCAGCGCAGCACAGAGGAAGGGAGCGGTGGGGGTGGGGAAGGTCAGTCGGGATGAGTAGAGCCTGGCCAGGCCTCGGAGGGCGGGGAGGCAGGGAGGGTGTTCCAGGAGGAAGCCCCCGTGCGGGCAAAGGCCCCGCGGAGCTGACAGCCGGGTGTGCTGGGCAGCCAGGAGCGGGGAGGTGCATGGGACAAAGCTGCAGACCCGAAGGGCCGTGCGCAGCGTGCCCAGGAGTTTGGACTTGGTCTGAGGACAGTGACTGGAGCGTTCGGACCAGGGAACGACAGAGCCGTGTCTGCAGCTCAGGAAGGACCCCTCTGCCCTGTGGGCGTGGAGTGTAAGGGAGCAGGTGGGAGGCTGGGAGATCAGGAACGAGTGGACCTCGGCAGCAGCCCAGGGCAGAAGTGACCAGGCCTGAGCTGGCGTGGCGACGGCCAGCAGGAAGGAAGTGGAGACGGGGTATCTGAACAAGGCAGGATTGCAGGCGTGGTGCAGGAGAAGGGGGCTGAGGCTAACTCCGGCTTCCGCCGGGGCCCCGGTGGCTGGTGGGGCCATTGCTAGGTGGGTCAGGACTCAGAGCTGCAGCTTCAAGGTGACCCACGTGGACACGGCAACAGCCCTGCTCCTTGCATCGTCCTCACTCACTCAGTCGTTGGGCGCCTGCTCTCTGAGATGTTCGGACGAGCACCGCCTCTGCCTCTGTCAGCATTTCCTGCGTGCGGAGGCATCTTTTCCAAGAGTCTGATGATAACATAGTGTGGCCAGTTCTGAAGCCTGGGGCTGGAGCACCTCTCCTAAAGCCAGTCTTACCTTGAGTTTCTTCAATCCCCAGCACTCAGGCTCTTCGGCTCAAAAGCCAAGAACTTCTGTGACTTTCCTTCACCTCCCCCTGCATTCCTCTTCCGGGGCTGTGGCCGCCAGAGGCCCAGCGAGGCTGGGAGCCGGGTGGTTATAAGAAAGGTGGGTTTTCCTCTTTGATCGTGTGCATACACTGAATTCCTTCCAGAAGAGTGACGCTGTGGGGCTCTCAGTGTGTACTAAGTGTTTTGCATGTTATCCAGGGTCAGCCTCACTGCATCCCCGTGAGCGATGATCGGGTCCCCGTCTGACGAGCAGACACCGCAGGCTCAGAGGGGAGCCACTTCATCTGCGATCTGCTTCCAGGGAGGTGGGGACACCAGGTTGAAGCCTGTTAGCGTCAACAGACCCTGGTGGCCCAGTGCTGACCCAGGACGTCCCAGCCTTATGTCCAGTGTGTTTCTCTTCTTAGGACACCCTGGAGAGGACAATGGGGCGGGCGCACATGGCCAAAATGATTGAGTGCCTGAAGCTGCAAATCCAGGAGGAGACCAAATGCCGCCTGGCCGCCATCTCTCGAGGCCTGGAGCTGCTGACGGTGGAGGGAAAGCTGTCGGCGCGGCAGAAGGAGGAACTGCTCACCCAGCAGCACAAGACCTTCTGGGGGGAGGCGGAGCGCTTCAGCAGGGGTGAGTGAGCCGGGGCTATGGGACACGGTCCTGGGGTCCCCCGCGCTGTGGGCCCTGGGGGCCAGGGTGGGGGACAGCACTTGCAAGTGTCCCAGTTCTGTCCTTGGGGATCAGTCACTTAAGTTCCTGAGCCTCGCTTGCCTTCTCCACGATCAGAGTTAATAAGGGCTGCCTCCTGGGGTCGGGGCTTTCCTGCTCCATGTAGTCGTTGGTGATTCAGGCTGACGGGGACCCCAGTGCCCTGCAGTCGAGCCACCTGGAACATGTAGAGGGCAAAGGAAAGTGGAAACGCCCAGTGGTGACCCGCACCTCCCAGCCGCAGCCGTCAGTGCTGCACGAGTCGCAGGGACCTGCCAGGTGGGTGAGGGTGGGCGATGGTGGAACGTGCTGAACACGACAGGGAGCCCCTTCGTGGCTGTTTCCCACACAGGCGCCTGCTCCTGGGCCGGCCCTGGGAGATGGCGGGTCAGGGCTCAGGACATCAAGGGCGTCCGAGGCTTAAGCCAGGTCACACCGTTAGTGAGACCCACAGGAAGAAACCCAGTCTTTTACCTGCGGGGCAGGTACCAGCTCCACCCCAGCACCCTCACACCCTCCGCGGGAGAGCTCAGCTGTGCTGACGCAAGGCTGCACGTGGCCTGGGGCCTGGATGGAAGCGGAGGCTGGGGCCTCTCGGATCTCGTCGGGACGTCTATAGGGCATGGAACCTGTGTGCCTAACAAGTGCCCCGGCAGGTTCTGATGCCCACGGGGCCAGGGAGTCCCCAGGCATCTCAGTCAGCTCAGGCCACCATTACAAGATGCCACAGATGGGGTGGCTTGAACAACACACATTTATTTCTCACAGTTCTGGACGCTGGACGTCCAAGATCAAGGTGTCAACCAATTCAGTTCCTAGTGAGGACTCGCTTCCTGACCTGCACATGGCCACCTTCCGGCTGTGTCCTCACATGCCAGAGAGTGACCTTTCTCACAGCCCTTTCTCGTGTTAGGCACCAGCTCTATGGGTCAGGGCCCCACCTTCGGACCTCATGTCACCTTAATTACCTCCTATAGGCCCCATCTCCAAATGCAGTCACAGGGGGTTTAGGGTTTTCGTGTATGAATTTGGGGCGACAAAGTGTACTTCATAGCACCAGTTCTGCAGCCTCTGCAGACACTCACGTCCCCTCTGCTAAGCCTCCGGACTCCAATAGGGCCGCTCCACAGAGTTCTTTCACTCAGCATCACGGCTTCCGTGACCACGTGGGAGCCTGCTGTCGGCTGGAACTTGGGACCGTGTAGAATTTGAACACATCTGGCCTTGGAGGTCAGCACACACAGTGGTCTGGGCTTTCCCAGTAAGAAGAGGTCCCAGTAAGAAGAGAGGGGCTGGGATGGGATGTGGACGCGGCCCCCATTGGTCAGGGTCTATTGAACTTGAACAAGACAGGGGTGGCCAGGAGACAGTCGGGTAGAAGGACCCCAGGCAGAGGGAAGACTCAGGTCTGTCCTGGACACCTGGACACACTTTTTTCTTTGGTGTCAGAGGCTAAACAGATTCTCAGGTCAAACCCAAGGACATGTGCTTGAGTTACAATAAGTGTAGGAGGGTGTGACGTGTGTGTGTGTGTGTGTGTGTGTGTGTGTGTGTGTGTGTGTGTGTGAGAGAGAGAGAGAGAGAGAGAGAGAGAGAGAGAGAGAGAGAGAGAGAGAGACGAAACCAGCATCTCCAAGGACTGCAGACCAGTCGTGACTGGCCCTCGCTTCCTTCTCCAGCCTCTTTACTCCACATCTGCCCCAAAACCCAAGTGAAGAGAATCTGGTGAACTCCTCCGCTGTCTCTGCCCCCGGGGGCTTTCTCTGGGGTCGCACACTGCCTGCTCCCCGTCATCTAGCTATAGTTCATTCTCCCTTCTGCTTTTCTCATCCCCCCCTGGACCGGGAGCAAGCTGAGAGCAGGGCTGGGCCCCACTCACTCGCAGACCCCAGCACCGGCGCTGCACATGGCACTGCTGGGACCCAGTGACCTGGGTGGTGTCAAGGCTTGTGTTAGACCCCAGCCCTCGCCCCCGTTCACCTTCCCCAGCCTGCCGGGGACCTTGCCCTTGGGTTTGCTCTCCCCCTGGGCTGCTGATCTAAAAACTTCCTCATGTTGTTGAATCTCAACTCCAGTCTGAAATGTCATTGTCTTCCTGCAGACGCAGGCTCTCTGTCTTCTCATGTCACCTGTCCTTCCCTGTGCCACCTACACCTCCCTCATACTCTTGCCCGGGAAAATGTCTCTTGTTTACCTCCTGGTCAGGTCAGCCAGCTGCCCTGCACAGCAGCTAAATAAAGCCTCTGGTTGCACCCTGAGCCCTGGGCCTGAGAGGAAGTGGAGGTCCCTCCAAGTCACATGGACCCGTGGCCTTTGGAGAGTTAGGGGCTCCTACCACTGGACTGTTGGAAGCACACATGCCTAAGAATATACGAAAATCAAGTGGATTTTCCCCGAAGTTTCTCCCCCTCTTCGAGCTGACAGAAGAAGCCAGTGAGGGTTTTGGCAAGAGAGTCACCTGTGACGTCCTGTGTATTGTTTAATTTTCAGAGTTTGTCCAGCAAGGCACAGGTCTGGTCAAGGTGTCACTGGCTCGCCAGGCAGAGGCGATGGCAGAGCTCACGCTGGCCCAGGAAGAGGAGCGGAGGGGCTTCCTGGCGGAGGCGCAGCTGACCACTGACCCCGAGCTGTTCCTCCAGGTAACCCTACTCCTGGCTCACCCTCTGTGTCCCGGCAGCAGCCATGCCGGCGGAGCATGGCGTGGCTTGGTCCCCATTCCCATGTGCCTCGGTCCCCATTCCCGTGTGGCTTGGTCCCTGTTACCGTGCTCAGGAAGCTAGAGGCTTTGGCATCCAGCAGATGGGAGATCACCTCCTGGCCTCCCATGTGTCAGCCTAGTAACCTTAGCCAAGTCCCCTGAGCCCTGTGACCCTAGCGTCCTTATCTGTAAGCCAGCGATAAGGGCTCTGCTGGGTGTATCTTCCAGCAGCTGAAGTCAGAGACTGATGTGTGGGTGGTTGGTGTCCAGGAGCAGGGTGATGGGGTGACCTAGTAGCACCTCCTCATCCTGGGCTGGACAGAAGCACAGTCTGTGGTTTTCCTGGCGCTCAGGCTCACTGGTCAATGCCTTGGCCTCAGTTTGCAAGCCACAGAAGCTACGTGACCCCCGTGCCTCATTTTCCTGGTGTGTAAAGCGGGTGAGCAGCCTTCCAATCAGAGAGGCAGGGGTCAGTTGGAGACGGACAGATCTACATTTTTCTACCAGTTTCAGCCCCTCTTTTACTCACAGGCTTTTCACGAGGTCCTGCAGAGGCAGAGGTTGACACGGAGTGACCTGGAGGAAGAGGAAAACGTCAGAACCACCGAGGCTGTGGCTGCACTCTGCCAGGTACGTGGCCTCAAGGTGGGACCGGCAGAGAACCCTCGGGACCTGAGTACTCAGGAGAACCTCACATCCTCCTGGGCTCAGGACTCCAAAGACCTGGGCTCAAGTCCCACCCTGGCACTCTGGCTGGGCAACCCAGGCAAGCCACGTGCCCATCGTGGGCGTCTGGCCTCATCAGACACCAAGGTCATATCTGAGGCACCTTCCATTTTGGGGGTGCTCAGGACTCTCACCTCCAATGTCCCTGGAGGCAAAAGTGTTTAGAAGTCAGTTCGCCCAGGATGAAAAGCAGGCAGAGCAGTGATGGGCTGGAGACAGGGAGGCCCGTGTTCGTGTGCCGGCACTAGATCTGTTTCCTCAGTCTTAGTAATACCCTGATGCCCGCAGAGTATGAGAACTATTGTCTTGGAGGGGAAGAGGTGAGAGTCCAGTGAGCTAACACAGGGTAGACGCTTTTGATGCCCTGTGTCCCGGGACCCTGAGCTCACTGCCAGAAGGGGACACTTGCCAGCAAGCTGACACTCTGTCCCTTGAGCTGGGATTGGGATCTAAGATCTTGCTCAACTAAACCCCCCTCCCCTGCTTTATAAAGTAAGGGTGAAACAAAGCACCCGTTGACTCTTGCTGGGAGGAATAAGTGAGTGATAACATGATAACATAGATAACGCATCTAGCCAATCTCGGTGGCAGTAAATCCACCCGTCTAAAATCCATCGATGACTTCCTGGGCCGTAATCTATTTGAAGTAGATCTTGGGAAGAAAATGACAGAAGTGTAGGCGCCACGTGCCTCCATGTTTCTGGAAAGCGGATTTCCATGTTGCAATAGAGGGCGAGTCAGTTCCCACGGTCCTTTATCAAAGTTAGAGGGTGATAAATCATCAGTAAGGAGGCAGAGTCTGAGAAGAACGGACCGGTACTTTCCTATCTAATTCTATGGCAGCAAGCTAAGGGAACACGGCTTTTTGTTTTAACTTAATAAGGCTACTGGGGTCATTCATTTATGTTTTACTTATTTGCAGAAGTAAAACTTGCCTGTCCCTTCACAGTACCACATGCTACCTGATTATAACCTTCCTTCCTTTTAGCAATTTTCCGAGCCAGCTCACCTCCCTGCAAAGAGGTGCAAAAGTGCAAAGGGGACAGAGGTCGTGCAGGAATCAAACAGACCAACTGGTGGGCCCTTTCCGGCTGCGTACCAAATGTGTGGCTCTGTCCACATCACTTAACGCCTCTGATCCAGGAATTCTTAGCTGCCTTCCTTGTAGATTGATCATATGAAAGGACCCACTTACACCCACAAGCCCCACCCATAGTTCTCAGGATGAAGTCTCACATCCTTACCCTGGGCCATGATGACCACCAAGCCTGGTCCATGAAGCTCCCATGTGACCTGACCCACAAGACCCATCTGACTTGGCCCAAAAGGTCCACCCAGTCTGGCCAGGAGACCCACCCAAGCTGGCTCATAAGTCGCCCCTGACCTAGCCCATGAGACCTAGCCCAGGTGGTCCACTCAACACCTGTCTGGAGTCATGTCCCTTGTTCGCTTCCTTCCAGCCAACCTCAGACATCCCTCAGTTCCCCAGAGGTGCCCTGGTCCCTCCTACCTCAGTGCCTTTGCATGTGCTTTTCAATTTCCTGAAACATTGTTCCCTTCATTCCCTCCGTTTTGCTTGTTCTCATTCTTGTCTCCATTAAAAGTCACTTACTCAGGGAGCCCTTCTCGACTCCTCTCCAGACCACTTAGATTCCCTGGGCTCTCCTTAGGGCTTCCACCCTCCCCGCCATTACACTTGTCACAGCAATGCATGCCCCCACTGCGTGTACATGGCTGCTGTGTTCACCACCGTGTCCCTGGCACAGAGCCCATATTCGGTGCCCAAGAGACATTTGCAGAATGAACCTATGAATGCTGTGAGGATAAAACATCTTTATACCACAGCTGTCACCTTCAGGACTCCTTCAGTCTAGTGTTGTATCACATAATTATGACCATAGAATGCCGTGCAGCAAGACACCGCAAAACCCAATGGCGGAAAATGACAGTGTTTTATTCTCATTGTCTGTGCATGGGCCAGAGGTTGGCTGATCTAGGCTGGGCTTCACACAACTTGGCCATGCTCTACCTGTCTCTCATTTCCTCCTAAGACCAGTGGGCTAGCCTGGAATGTTCTTCCCATAAGAGTGGCAGAGGTCTAGCCTCCCTACTAATACGGTTCACACCCACCTCATTCCATTGGCCAGCACAAGCCACGTGACTGATCCCAAAGTTAAAGGACGGGGAGGGACTCCCTACTCCCTGGGGGCACTGCCACATGGTGTGGCAAAGGGTATGGGTACAGGAGGAGAAAGCATGCTCTGTGCTGGTGCTGTGTCTAATCCTTCTAATCAGCCCTCAAAGCAGAGGTTGTCTTACAGATCTGTATTCCTGTCTAATCCCTTTTACAGATAAGAAAGCTGAGACTCCCTTTTATAGGAACCAGAATGTGTGCACTCGCCCTGCCCTGAGTCATGTCTCTGCCAGAAGGCTGGGAAGGGCCCTTGACCGTTTGAGTCAGGCTGCAGAGGCGGAAACCCCAGTGAAGGAGCAAGGTCACAGGGAAGTGTTGCCTTAGCTTGGGTTCCGTGCGCTTCTGTTTGAGGGAAAGTGTAGGGCTGAAGCCTGGAGCCAGCCTCTCTCCTCACCTGGGTGCTCCCTGCTGTCCAGACCTGTCACACACCCTGAGAGTAATAACACAAATTAATTCTGGTTCTATTTCGGGCACAGAATAAATCACTATCTCCCAAGTGAAACGTGTCAGCATTAAATGGAAGCGATGTGTTTTACGGCTTGTCAGATCATGTGACAAAGACTGCAGATGTAAGTCTTTCGAGGGAGCAGACAGGTTCCAGCACAGTTTTTATTAGGAAGACCCCGGGTTAATGGACTGTGTAGTTTTTGCAAAGTTAACCTTTCTTGAATTTGCAAGTAGCGTATTTTTTTTGGTTTGACAATCATGGACAACAACAACAAAAAGGTGTGTCTCCATGTCCCCAGCTGCCACTATGGAATAATAGATTTCAAGGTAGGAGAATCCATTTAAAAAATCTGTCTCCTGGCAGAAAATTGGGATTTGCAGAGTCTGGAAGAAAATGTAAATCACTCCCATACTTTTAAACCATTTTTATTGTGAGATGTAACACACATAAATAAATGGATAACACATAAACTTACAGATTAACAAATGATTATTAAAAATACATCTATGTAACCACTACTGAGATCAAGAATGAGAAAATGGCCAGGACCCCAGAAACCCCCTCACATCTCCCCGTAATCCCAATACCCTCCCCACTCACAGGAGCCTGGTTTATATGGAAATCAGGTTCTTGCTTTTATATAAATGGAATCATATAGCACATGCTCTTGTGTGTCGGGTTTCTTTCGCTCAATTTTAGGCTTGTGAGATTCATCTGTGCCGTGTGTAGCAGTTCATTCTTCCTCGTTGGGCTGTAGTATTCCATTGTATCAATACACCCCCATTTATCCACTCTGCTGTAGATGGACATTTGTGTGGCTTCTTATTTTACACTGTTACACATTCGGCTGACATAAAATTTCTTGTAGATGCTGTTTGACACACTCGTGCACACATTTCTCTTGGGCATATACCAAGGAGCGGAATTGCTGGATTAGAGTATATGTAGCTTCTATCTATGTTCTGCACAGTTATTGCTATAGCCACCAATTTGATTAGCATTTGTCATTTATAGATCAGTTTGCTGAGAAATAACATCTTTACAGTATCAAATCTTCCAATCTAGAAAGATGATACTATATCTCTACATTTACTTAGGTCTTATTTAATTTTTCTTAATATCGTATTATAGTTTCCACCCTTAGGTATAATGTTTGCTTTAGTTTTGTTTTTTTTCCAGATTAAGGAAGTTTCCTACCATTTCCATTTTGCTGAGTGTTTCTTATGTGTAGAAATTAAATTTCGTAAAGTGCTTTTTTCTTCATCTATTCACATAATCATATTTTTCTGCTTTATTCTGTTAATGTGGCAGATTGCATTGATTTGGGTGCTGCCATTAAGTGCATACAAATATAGAACTTAAACATCTTTCTGGTGAATTAAACCTTTTAGCATTATGAAGTGAACCCGTTTATTTCTAGTCATGCATTTTTTTCCTTAAAAGCTATTTTATATCCTAATAATGTAGCAAACAGTAACCTGATGTTTACTAGGTGCTGATTACACATTCATTCCTTCGCTTATTGTTAAAATTTTAGCTGAGAGCATCATGGCTAAGATTATGGATCCTGACTGACTATCAGAGCCCTATATGTAAACTCGTGTCATTTAACCTCTCTTTTACATTTATAGATGAAAGCTCAGCTTTCTCAACTATAAACTTTTTTCATCAGTTTTGGGAAATCTCTCAGCCATTATTGCTTCAAGTATTGCATCTACCTGGGCTCTACCTTCTCTCCTTTGGGGATTCCAGTTAAATATGTTGGACTTTCTTGTTGTATCTTTTATGACTTTATCTTCTTCCCCATATTTTCCATCCTTTAGTCTGTCCTTACTTTGTTCTGGATTTTCTCCTGATCTATCTTCCAACACACTAATTCTCTCTTCTGCTGCATCTAAGCTGCAATTAAATATGTACATTGGGCTCATAATATTGGACAATATCTTCAATTCTAGAAGTTCTAATTGGTTCTTTTTAAACTAAGCAGTGTTACTTTTTATCATTTCTTTGCTTTCAGGTTTAAGAGTGGCTCTTACCTTCATGAGCATAAAAAGCATCGCTATTTAAAGTCCAGATCTTGTAATTACACTCTCCAGATTATGTGTAACTTTGCTGTGTGGCTGTCTCGGCTTCAGGAGCTGTACCGCAGCACCATGGAAACATTCCAGAAGTTTGTGGACATCCTGTTCCTGCAGACACTCCCAGACATGACCGGCCTCTCCCAGGCAGAATGTGAGTACTTGAGGCAGGAGACCCAGGAGAACACCGCCCGGCAGCTGGGGACATCAGATCGCTTCCGGAAACAGCAGTGGAAACTGTTCCAAGATCTCCTGGAGCAGGAAAAGCAGGTGCGGGCATTTTGTAAAACCAGGTCTAGAGTCTGTGCTTTTTGAAACTTATGAAAACTACTGAGAGGTTTCATTCATTGAGGCTATGCTAGGCATTTTACCAAGAGTCTGGTTGCCAGCCTTTCACAACAGCCCTCAGGGTGGGTTGGAAAAGACTACAAAGCCCTTCCCTCCCAGGACATGAAGTCAGTGGGCGGCGCCTCAGTGGCTCCATCAAGAAAGAGCAGCAAAGCATGTTCTTTGGAAAGAGAGAAATAAACAACAGACGGTGGTTCACGGAGGAGGGGGCTGCACACACGACGCTCCTGTTTTTCAGTGAAAGTCTATTTCATTATTAAAACTATGTATGTACGTGGTAGATAGGATAATGGGCCCCAAAGATGTCCACATCCTAATCCCCAGGGCCTGTGATTATGTGACCTAACAGAGCACAAGGGTCTTTGCAGATGTGATTAAATTAAGGACTTCGAGATGTGGAGATTATTCTGGATTATCTGGGTGGGCCCAATGTCATCACAAGGACCCTTACAAGAGGGAGGAGGAGGGTCAGAATCAGAGGACATTTGATGACGTAAGCAGAAGTTGGAGTGACGTGGCCATGAACCAAGGAATTCAGGAACCCACTAGAACCTGGAAAAGGCAAGGAACAGATCCCCACACCCTCCCCCCAGGGCCCCCAGAAGGAACCAGCCCTGCCCAGACCTTGATTTTAGCCCATTAAGACCCATTTCACACTTCTGATCTCCAGAACTATAATTTAATTTAGTAAGTTTGTGTTGTTTTAAGCCACGGAGTTTGTGGTAATGTTTTGCAGTGGCCATAGGAAATTAATATAACTATATTAATTTTAGTTTTTAAATATTAAAAACATCTATGCATAAGAAGGAATTTCCAAGTGAGACTTACACTAACATCGCCCACTTACTCCCTTGCTCTCCTGCACGCTAGAGACTGTAAAACGAACATGCTCAATATCCCAGCATCCCTTGCAGCTAGCAGTGGCCAAGTGACACAGTTCTGGCCTATGAGACAAGATCCGGTACCTACAAAGAGCTTCTCTCTCCTAATACAAAAGCCACGTGTTGGTAGGAGAAATCCCCTTCTTTTCTTCGGTGTTTCCTGTACTCCCTGCCTAGGTCACGTGCAGGAGGCCTGGAGGAATACCAGCCTTCCTTTAATGTACAGGCAGGATGCAGGATAACGGGGACTGATGTGCTCAGGATGGGGGTGCAGAGAGATGGACAGCCCCGTGTCCCTGGCGGCACTGTTGAGTCACTGTCCCAGCCCTGGACTGCCCACCCCTAGGTCCTTGTTATAAGAAACAAGCCCTGTTTCTGTGTGTTGGGTGTTCAAGTAGTTACAAAAGAGCACTCAACCGATTCTCTTAACAGAGGTTTTCTAGAGCAACTAATTGGAATTGTTAAAAGTACCAAGTAGAGTTGACCCTTAAAGAATACAGGGGTTAGGGACGCCAACCCCCACACAGTCTAAAATCCATGTATAACTTTTGACTTTCCCCAAATTTAACTACTAATAGCCTACTTTTGACTGGAAGCCTTCCCATAACATAAATAGTCAATTAATACATATTTTGTATATGTATGATATACTGTACTCTTACAATAAAGTAAGCTAGAGAAAAGAAACTATTAAGAAAATTATAAGGAAGAGAAAATACATTTACAGTATTTATTGAAAAAAAATCCACATTCAAGTGGGCCCGTGTAGTTCAAGGGTCCACTGTGATTAGAAGAAAGCGTTATGCAAACATACAGCCATTCTCAGCTGTGGGGCGGGCACAAGGCCTGGCTTCCTGTCTGTCTGATTTATTAAACCTCCTTCTAATTTACTTCAGCCTTCTGCCAGCTATACCATGATGCCCTGTCATCGGTACCTGGTCTGTCTGTCCTGCATGTGGCCCTAAGTTCCTGCACGACAGCCACCCTGCTTTCCGTATTTATATCCCTTTATTCAAAGCCCAGGGGCTGGGATCCAGCAAATGTTCAGGAAAACTTGGCTGCATTTCCAGCAACAATAGTGCAGTTTTGGAAATTATCACAGGGTCGCCTTGACCCTGAACTCTTCCAAAGGATGTGAACAAAGCTAAATTCATCTGATTCATAGCCATCCTGGGCCCCACAACTTAATTTACAGTCTCTGGGGAGGGAGAGGCCACGTGGGCCTCCGTGGGTGGAAAGTTTACCAGGTGAGTCTAATGTCCCTCTGATGTGGGCTCCTCAAATGGAGGTGAGGGCCTTTGGGAGACAGATGTGGTTTGCAGACAGGCCCCTAACCTTGGATGAATGCCTGGGTTTGGGCAGGAGCAAATCGTTAATAGACTGGCTGCCTTTAGCCAGTTAGCTGACCTCCCACAGCTTGGATTTTGCACAACTTGCCAAGTGTCTCAGAACCTTAGTTTCTCTGTAAACAAAACAGGGATGTAAATCCCCAGCGGGGTTGCTGTGAGGTCATGCAACTTAAGGCCTTTTTCACAGTATCCAGTTACTTGATGTCAGCAACATTGAAAAAATCCCGAATTTCATTTCTGATAGATTACTAGACAAACACCTATGATTCATCTAAAACTCTCTGGTTTTGAGCCTTAAGTTATTTTAGGCAATTATCAGGCTATGTGTAGCTTCTGGTTTTTATTTATTTGCCTCGTGAGTATATGCATGTGAGTGAATTTTCCTTGGCTTGTGCGAAACTGTTTCAAGAGGAGTTTTACATGCAAGAAGCAAGCAGAATAGTTAGCAACTTCATCAGCTGATTAAATAAGCATGACCTGAGGCTGCCTTCAAGGTGTAGGTGTCATCATTAACTTACTGATTGACTGTTTAATTGCCTTAAATTACCACGAGATATTTAGAGATCCGTGTTCCCTCCCACTTTGCATATTTCCTGGTTGATGATAAAAATGAAAGATGAACTTTCCGTGGTTCTGATGAATATTTAGTCGTGAGAAGAAAAGCACTAGCAAAACTCTTCATGGAAAATCAAACACGCACCCAGACAAGGAAATGCATTTCCCACATTTTCTACCCCAAAGGCCTTGGTAATTTCATATCCTGTTATCAGGGAAGTTGTTAGAGATTCTGCAATCTGCCACTTACCCAGTTGGAACAGGTTCTCAAAATGAAACCCGTTCTAATGCAGGTCTCTGGGCTTCTCCCCAGCCCACTGTGTCAGGGACAGAGGTGCCTGATGTCCCCCAGCGGTGTCCCCGTCCTAATTCCCAGAAGCTGTGGACATGTTACCTTACTTGCCGAAAGGGACTTTGCAGGTGTGATCGAGTTAAGGCTCTTGAGATGGGGAGAGTATGCTGGATTATTCAGGTGGACCCAATGTAATCACGAGGTCCTTGTAATAAGTGCAAGAGAGGTCAGAGTGATGCAATGGGAGAAACCCTCAGCAGACACTGCTGATTGGAGGATGGAGGCTGGAGGAAGGAGACACGAGCCAAGGAACGCAGGCCACCTCTAGAAGCTGGAAAGGCAAGGAAAGGGATTTGGCTCTAGAGCTTCCAAAAGGAATGCGGGCTTGCTGACATCTTGGTGTTAGCCCCTTGAGCCCCATTTCAGCCTTCTGACCCTCCAGAGCTATAAAGATAATGGGTCTGGTGTTTCCAGCCACTCAGCCTGTGGTAACTCGTTACATCAGCCCTGGGAAACTAATACACCTGGACATGAGTCTGTACCTTTAACAAGGAGTGCGGCTGATGACGCAGCCTATAGCGTAATGGTAAAGACACCAGTGCTGGGTCAGTCCGCCAGCTTTCGGATCCTGGCTCCACCCCTTACTCTCCGCCCACTCTCTCGGAACCCCGCTCCCAGCGGCTCTCCATCACCAGGCCAAAAAACCTGCTCTCGTCTCGGTGCTGGGCTCTCGGGGCTCCCCGTACTGCACTCACAGCAGCGTTCGGCCAAGCTGGGCTCTCCCCTCCTCCGTGAAACGCTTGCCTCTAGCTTCTCCCGCGCTACCTCGATGGCGGCTCCTTCTCATCTCCCTGACGTGTGAACACTGGCACACCCCCGGATGCAGCCCCCGACCCTCCTCTCTGCCTTCATGCCGTCCCGTGGGTGCGCTCAGGCAGGTTCACACCACTGCGTGTTTTCTAATGCTGCCTCACAAATAACCTCCCCCGTGCTAGAACCTTAGAACAACACACATTCAGCCTATCGCAGTCTCTGGGGGCCAGGAATCCAGGCAAAGCTAAGCTGGGTCCTCTGCTCCGTGTGTCTCACAGGCTGCGATCCAGGCTGCAGCTGGGGTCTCAGCCGGAGGCTCATCCAGCGAGGAATCGCTTCCAAGTTCACTCACATGGCTCTTGCCAGGATTCAGGGTGTTGGGCAGCAGCTCCCCCATTTGTATCTCTAGCTCCGAATCCATCCCTGAACTCAGCTCTCTGCGTGACATCTCCACTTAGATGATGTACAGGCACATGCATTTAGTATGTCCAAAATTGATCTTCCTGCCCGCCTGCTGTCCAGTCTTCTTCCATCTTTCCGTTCAACTGAGCCAACTGAACTTTCTTTCATACCCTATGTCCAATGGACAGGAAATGGTGTTGGTTCTACCTTCAGTCTAACCCAAACTGTCACCACTTTTCATTACCTCCATTCTTAGCACCCTGGTCAAAGCCACCATACCTCTTGTCACTGCAACAGCTGGCCCGCTGGTCTCCCTCAATGTACCCTGGTCTGTTATTAACCCTCAGCCAGAATGATACTTTCAATATGTACGACACGCCACTAATTTTTAAGGTGCACGTTCTAAATGTATGTTAACATCCCAGGAATGGAGAAGCAGCTGAATTTAATTGGCAGTGATTTCTCACCCTCAGTGATACCTAAAATAATTGTGCATCTTACAATCGCTGGCACATTAGAGTTGATAAAAGGCATCACGTCACATCGTGTCACTTCTTTGCTCAAAACCCCAGCGGCTTCTCATTTCACGCAGCATAAGAACCAGAATCCCCACGAGGCCCTCCAAGGCCCTGCGTGTGAGGACCTGGTTACCTCGTTCTCCCCGCCGGCTCGCTCTGCTCCAGCCTCGCCAGTCTCCTGGTGGCCCTCTGGGCACGCTCCTACCTCCTTGCTCCTATGTCACCTTCACAATGAGGCCCACCCTGACTGACTGTGCTTTTTGAAACTGCAGTGCCTCCCTCCCCGCAACAAGCCAGTGTTTGCCTTAGGTGCTGCCTTCGGAGCCCAGCCCACCTATAAACCCACCCTGTTTATAGCAGAATGCTATAAAACCCTTCACACGTACAGGCATGCACTGTTGTGTGAGTTCCTTTTCCCTTGCTCTCCTTCGTAAATGAAAGTTTGAAATAAAGAGTACACTCACCCGAAACCACAAAATGACCCCATAGCAATTCCCAGCGCCGGCACTCTAGCCCACCAAAGCAGCTGGCTGCTTCTGAACTTGAACATCCACAAGCCTGCGTTCCACAGTGTTGAAGAGGTTGCTGTGACAATTGTCAGCACCGTCTTGTCCAGTGATGTTGGTCCTCTTGACCGGCTTTCAATGCTATTGCTGGTTTTATCTACATTCCCAAAATGTACGCGGAAGATCCCATATACTTTTGTGACAATGTGAATTTGCCTTTTAGAGAATCAAGACTAGATTTCTAGAACGTTCTGGTTTCCCAAGGGCTTTGACAGGTTACTGCAGACTTTTCACAAGAGGAGTCCGGGGCTGACTTTAAGAAAAAAATTTCCGGTAACACAGTCACGTGATTGTGTGGGGAGAAGTACATGTGTTAGGAATCACAGCGCCCAGGAGACCTGAGGTCTAGGCCTGCGGCTCGTTGGCGTTCCACGTGCAGCGTGCCCCATCTACAGGCTGCTGGAGGTAGTACCCTTTGAACAGCTGCAGATGAGGAAAAGGGAAGGCCCCTCAACCTTAATGACTGAGTCCCTGGCTATAACTCGGTCTAGCTGAGCTGGTGTACGTTCTCCCGGGGACACGAGCTAGTCAGGGAGGAAGATAGTAGGACCAGAAAAGATTGGAACTTTGGAGACAGACCTAGATTTGAGACCTGGCTCCATTTTTTTATTATTATTATTATTATTATTATTATTATTATTATTATTTATTAGCTGTATGGTCTTGGACCTCACAGGATTTTCAAGGTAAAGCCACATTGAAGATGAACTAACATCCAACATCACAACAACTAAAAACTATATACTTATCTTCTGAAAATGATAGTCATCAAAACAGAAATGTAATGGATGAATTAAACAGCAGATTAAATGTGTCTGAAGAAGCAGTGTGTGAACTAGAAGATAAGAGTGAGAAAGTGGCACGAGAGATTATGGGAGGACTGGGCGCTAGCAGCTGTGAAGTCTTGCTATAAACAACAGCAATTAAAGCAGTGTGGTCTGGGTGTGGGCCTGGCAGGAGGTGCGAATGGAAACTGCATAATACAAGGTGGCATGACACCTGTCATGAGAAAGATAAATTATCTAAATAAAGGGTGCTGGGACCTTTAGTCCCTATTTGTCCAGAAAAAAATTAGATCCCTTCCTCACGCCACAGAAAACAAATATTAAACGCTTTACGATGTAAATGCAAATAGGAAAATGTTTAAATTTTTAGAAGAATATTTTAATGAAATCAGGAGAGAAGGATTGTTTAAACAAGAAATAAAAGGCATGTTCCGATAAAGCAGTGATGGATGAGATGAGCTTGCGTTGACTCCCGTCCCTCTGTGCTGGGGTTTAGGTGTGGCTGGAGGAGCACGCTCTGTCCATGGTGCTGCAGACACACCTGCGGGACGGCCACGAGAGCGTCATCCGCCAAGTGGTGGGCCAACTTGGCGGCCTCAGCGAAGAGTGAGTAAAGCTTTCTGAAGGGTCGGGGTCTTGTGTCCTGGGTGATACTCCATGCTAGCCTCAGTGTCCTCATCTGTGAGATGGACACAGTAACTGCCCCCTGCCTCTTACAGTGTGGTTTTGAGACCAACCAACCTGTAAATATAAGTGTGATAGAGTGACAGCAGGGTGCCATGGGTAAAGGCTCTGAGTCAGAGGTGATCTGGGCCAGTGACTTACCATTTCTTACCCTCAATTTCCTCATATATAAAATGGGGCCAGTAAGACCTACTTCAAAGACTTGTCTTTCGTAGGAGCTTTTCTTCAACAGCTTGATTGAGGTATAATTTACATACATTATTTTAAGTATGCAATTCAATGATTTCTAGTAAATGTACAGAGTTCCGCACCCATCACGATAATCCAAATTTAGATCATTTCCATCACACCCAACAGACCTTTGTACCTATTTTCAGTCCCTCCCCATTTATTAATACATTTTTAGATTCTTGTTTTATATTTTTTCTATATTAGTATAGTATGGTCTTTCAACTTCCTGAAAATGATCTTTTTCTTATTCCATAGGAGAAAAATTATGTTGCTAGAGCATATTTTTTAGTTTCCCAGGCTTTCCAGGAAACTATTGTGTGTGTACAACAAGAAGCAGGTGGATAGCTATAGCACTGGATAGTACGGGGAAGTGCCCGGAGGGGATGGTTTTCCCGGAGGGAAAACGTGGGGAGCCATGCTGAGGACAACAGTGAGCAACAGGAGCATCTGTTAGCCTGAAAACCTGTGTCTTTTAGTTATATCGATATTTAGTTCATTTATGTTTAATGTAAACCCAAATGCTAATATATATATATTTGAGGTTTAGGTCTGTCATCGTGCTGTTTGCTTTATGTTTGTCTCCCCTGCTCTGTTCCCTTTTCTCTCGTTTCTTGTCTTTTGTATTAGGTGTCTTTTTACTGTTCTATTGTATCTCCCTTTTGGCTTGTTAGTTACATTTTCTTTTACTATGCTTTCGTGGTCCAGAGATTTCAAAATGCATCCTTGACTTGTCAAAATCTAATATACATTAATGTATCTCTCCTGGAGAATACAAACACCTTAGAATATCTTGATTCCATTTCTCTCTCCCTCAGATTATGTGTATTTTCCTCTATATATTTTCAACCCCATTAGATAGCATTGTTTTATGCTGTCAATATTCATTTAGATTTACTCACATAGTTACCCTTTCTGTTGCTCTTAATTCTTAAGCCTGTATCTTTAAGCTTCCATCTGGGATGGTTTTCCTTTGCGGAGGAAATAAACCTGTTGTGCTTCTTGAATCTATGTTTTGCTCTCTTTCATCATTTTTTTGAAAATCCTCATCCATGATCTCTTTAAATATTCCTTCTGCTCATTCTGTCCTTATTCTTTCTGGGGCTTGAATTACACATTTATTAGGACTTTTTACCTTGTCCCGTTTGTCTCTTACGTGCTGTTCTGTATTTTTCACTCTTTTGTTCTCTGCGGTTCACTTTGAGCTACCTTTCAGTTCACACACTCTTCAGCTACGTATTATGTGCTGTAAACCCACCTACTGAGTGCTTAATGTCAATTATTGTGTTTTCAGTTCTAGAATTTCCAATTGATTCTTTTCATAGTGTTCAGTTATCTGCTGAGATTCTTCGTCCTATTTACTTTCTTAAACATATTCATCATAACTACTTTAAAGTGTGTGTCTGCTTATTCTAGTAGTCAATGGGTATGTTTCTATTGTCTGTTTTTCCCCTCATTATTTCTGTTCAGTTGTTATCTGCTTGTAAGTCTGGTTATTTTTATTGAGTGCTGGACACTGTGATTGCAAATTGTAGAGATAATGTAAGGCTTTAAATGATGGAAACTTCCTCCAGAGAAGATATATGTTATTTTTTGCAGAGATTTCAGGTAGTGGCAGATCAACTATGCCATCCATGAATTTAGCTGATTGAAAATTAGGTTTTTGTGAAGGATGATTCCTTATTCTTAGAACAAGGGCTCCCAGTGGAATGTGTTTGCCAGGTCTCTCTTCCTTGATGGGCTGGCTGACTGCCAATAATACTCTATTCAACTTTTATTCAACTGTTCAGGCTGTCAGCAAACACCTCAATTTATAAAACTAAACATTGGGCCTCTCAGATAGACCAAAGATTTTTTACTTGTGTCACTAAGACAGGAACTCAAAAATAGCTCACCATTTCAGTTTTGGATGTGTTAATTTTGAGAGTTATACAAGAAATTCACATGGATAGGTACTGAAGGCAGCTGTATATATACATCTGAAACTTGGGGCATGATGGGAAAAAGTTAAAAAGAGCAATAAAAGAACAGATGGCCTAATAAACCCTGGCGAGCACCCATGTCAAAGAGGACGGGCAGCAAAGGATGGGATATTTCTTCCAAGCTACCGTATTTGCTGGCGTATAAGACGACTGGGCGTATAAGACGACCCCCTAACATTTCCACTCAAAATACAGAGTTTGTTATATACTCGCCGTATAAGACTACCCCCCCTTCCGCACACCTTCCACACACCAAATAAAAGGTAAAACAATATCAGATTTGATTTCAACATTTATATTTATATTCAAATGCTTATGACATGAAGGAAAACTGTCACAAGGCTGTATGTAATCAAACATATACATAAATCGCGATTCGCGATTTTGCGCTATCATACTGGGTGTATGGTCGGCTGTGTGCGATTTTGCGAGTGTGGTAAAATCGCATAACAGCAAAATCGCATAACAGCCGAGCATACACCCAGCAGCGCTGCTGATGCCTGAACGGTATGTGGAATGAAGTGGGCGGGCATCGGGAGGCCACTATGGCACGGGGCAAGCACTATGGGCAGTCTATCTGAAGTGTACCTGGCGTATAAGACGACCCCCCACTTGGAGGCATATTTTTCAGGGCCAAAAAATCGTCTTATACGCCGGCAAATACGGTACCTCCACTGAGAAGGCCCTCTGTGGGGCATGAGTATTTGGGTATTTCCTGGTAGCTTGGCATATTAGGGTTCTCCAGAGAAACAGAATCAATAAGTTGTGTGCATCTGTCTGTCTGTCTGTCTATCTATCTATCTATCTATCATCTCTCTCTATTGAGAGAGAAGAAAGGGCAAGAGAGTCTGAGAGGCACCAGGATGAGCAGTTGGCAACTTGGACACCCAGGAGAGCCCATGCATAGTTCCAATCCCAAGACTGAAGGTCTGAGAATCAAGAGAGCTGATGTATCAGCTCCAGTTGGAAACCCAGCAGACTCAAGACCCAGGAAGAGCCAATGTCTCAGTTCAAGTCCAAAGGCAGGAAAGCGCAATGTCCCCGTTCAAGGCAGTCAGGCAGGAGGAGTCCCCTCTTGTTCATAAGAGGGTCAGCCTTTTCCTCGCTTCAGGCCTTTGACTGATGGGATGAGGCCCGCCCATGTTAGGAAGAGCAATGTGCTTTACTCAGTCTACTAATTTAAATGTTGATCTCATCCAGAAACACCCAGAATACTGTGTGATCAGATGTCCAGGTACCTGTGGCCCAGTCAAGTTGACACATAACATTAACCTTCACACTCAGAGAAGCCAGGAGCATTGACCCCCAACCCCCTGCCCACTTTCCCCAAAGATCTGTGCAGTGCACCCTGCAGAGGCATGACCTGCTCCTGTGCTCGGCCCTCCGGAGGCTGGCTCTCCGTGGCAGCGCCATCACCACCCTGACCCAGATGAGACTGTCGGGGAAGAAGAACCTTCTCCAGGAGCTGCGAGAGCAGCACGCCCTTGAACAGGGCTCTTCCCAGTGTCTGGACGAGCACCAGTGGCAGCTGCTCAGAGCCTTGGTAAGATCTGTGTGCTGGCCCCTAACCTGCCCCAGACAGGCAGAGCCTTCCTCAGGTTCCAGGTTCTAGCACGTTAGCCAAAACCCAAATCCTGCCACCCCTGTTACAGGGTGGGGACGATGGCAGCTTTGTTGGGAGGGTAATCAGTGTGCCCAAAGGCTCTAGTGTATGCTATAATGAAGATTATACTAAAGATGCATAAGAAATCAAGGCAGAGATAGGTGCAGTCGCCATCAGGAAGTTAGGAGAAAGGGGTCCTGTAACTTGGCTCAAGGTTTTAACAAACCCAAAGAACTTGTGAATTGCGAGGCTAGGATTTAAACCCAAGCAGGCTGATTCCAGGTCTTACGCAGCCGCTGAGCTCATGTTTTGATGCATTGGTGAGGGACAGACAGTTCACACTCTCTTTCGCTCTGCCCAGGAGGGCTCGGTGGGAAGCAGGGAGGACTTGCAGCTCTACCTCTGAGCTCCCCTCACCTCCTTCTCTGACTCTTATCCCTACACAGAAAGTCAGTCGCCACAGCTCCATATGCCTTGCTGTGGCTTCTGTGATGTCCCAGACTATTCTCAGGCTTCAAAACCTGGCTCTGCTGTGTGACTTTTAGAAAGTTACTTAACATCTCTGAGCCTCAGTGCCCTCATCATTCCCAGTGTTTAGGCCTCACAGCATTCTAGAAGAATGAAGAAGTTCTTGTATATGTGAGAGGCCACAGATGGCACTGGGCACACAGTTGGTGCTCAATAAATGCCTTGGGTTGGGGGGAGCACCTTCAGCAGACTCTGCTCATCCATTGTGTGTTGGATTTTAGAAACCCAAAGGGCCCTACTTTCTACCTCTTCTCCATCCCTTCCCCAACCTCCTGAGGCTGTGGGCAGGGCCCACCCAGGGCCCACCCCACATGCTGGTCCTGGTCCGGGCCGGAGCTCCTGTGCGGCACAGCAGCCTGGGCTCCCCCCACTCCCTCTCCCGTCCCTTCCAGGAGACGCGGGTCCTGGAGGAGGCCAGCAGGCTGGAGGAGGAGGCGCAGCAGACACGGCTGCAGCTTCAGCAGCAGCTCCTGGCCGAGGCCCAGGAGGTCGGGCGGCTCCTGCAGCAGCACGCAGAGCGGGCCATCGGGCAGGCGCTGCTGGTGCACGCGCGGAACGCGGCCAGCAAGACCCGGGCCAAGGACAGGGATGATTTCAAGGTGTGCGCCAACCCGCGTCCCCAGGGAGCCCGAGGGCAAGAAGAATTGGAGTGCAGTGGGAGGGCAGGGGCAGACGGGACAGAGCAGCAGCCGGGGTGCTGGTCCTTGCCGAGGTTACCTGGCTTCCGGAGGAGGTAACGGCCACCCTCCTAGATCGATGCGGTTTTCCACCTGCTCTCCGGCTGCGCCCCATGATTCTGAGCACTGGCTCGGCCCTTACAGCTGGTCGGAGAGGGGAGGGACATGGCTTCACTCAGAGCCTCCTGGCTGGTCAGCAGCAAAGATGGGACCTGACCCCAAGCACCTCTCCCAGAGACGTGAGCCTTCGCTGCCCGTGGCCACCTCTCTGGAGACGCCGGGCTTGCCGAGTTGATCCTGACCTCAGGCTGAGCAATGCAGTAAAATCAGTTTGCCTTGAGTGGGCAGCGGGCTACTCCTTATATTGACAATGAGGACAAACCCCAGGGACAAAGGCCACAGCAGTAGGAAGTAGAGTGCCATTGCACTGTGACACCCGATGTCATTCCAAATAGCTCACGTCTGCTGCACATCGTCCGGACCTCAGGGCGGTGCCTGGCATGCGATAATGGGAAGGTCGCCGCCTTTCCCTAAAGTTCTACAACTCTTACCTAAGAAATGCTCATTGCATGAAAATGGAATGAAATTTCAGTGTGGTGTATTCTGGCCTCAGCCTCCCCAAGAGATTCTGAGTCAGGATTAGATAATGGTGACACCCTCCCCCCAGTACACACACACACACACACACGAGAAAGAACATGTGCACAGTTTGTGGAAGAATGTTCATTTATTTGACCTCTGTCCATAGAGCTTCTGAGCCCTAAGCCCAGTGTCAGGTGTTGGGAATAGAGAACAATCGGGGGGGGGGGGGGACAGCATTTCTGCCTTCACGGAGCTTACGATCTAATGGGAGGGGACAGCAGTGATGGAGAGCTGGTCAACCAATGAATCGCGAAGTTTCACTGACGCGGAGCCAAGAAACAGGCAGTGAAGGGAGATCAAAGAGGGGTGTGAAATTGGAGACAGTAGAGCCCTCTGGGTTGGGAGAGGGTGGACCGTGAGAGCTAGGGCAAGGGGCAGCAGGGGACTGCATATGACCTCTCTGCTGAGTCCTCCCCCGCTGCCCACAGAGGACGCTGCTGGAGGCGGCTGTGGAGAGCGTGTATGTGACCAGCGCCGGCGTCAGCTGCCTGGTGCAAGCATATTACCAGCAGATGAGGAGGGTCCTGCAGGACCAGGAGGAACGCAAACGGCAGCATCTGGAGACCCTGCTGGGTATGAGTTTGGGACGGAATGCGATGTCAAATTTTTCAAATTTTATTTGGGGGAATTTTATTTATTTTTAATGTTTCATGTATTTATCTATCCCCTGCTTTGTCCACAAGATTTTTTTGTTGTTTTTTTTGTTTGTTTTGTTTTTTTAGCTGAGCCATCCTGCTACCTGTTGGCAGCTCAGCGGCTGCTCAGCTTGGGCCAGGCATCGAACTGCTGTTGCTCAGAGCTCACACTCTTGAGCGAGCTCTTAACCAACTGAGCCACTCGACCGGCCCTCAAAATGTTTTTTAAATGGCACTTAACATATACATACAATAGGATTTTTAAACATAGATGAATCAGGTCAAGGGCAGGACAGTGGGATGAAATTAGGGCCATTATCTAGGATATATGTCATCAGTTTCCAACTTAATGGTGACGTGGTTTTGTCTCTGGGCTTCCGGGTGGCCAAAGAGATGGAAACTCCCTCAATTAAAGTTGTTGGAGTGACTGTAAGAACAGACCAGTGGCCCATGCAATGTTCCCGAGACCCAGGGAATTTCCCTGTGGGCTCTCATAAAAGGTTCCCCGAGTAAGGGAACAGACAACATCCCCAACGCCAGCAATGACATCGTGTAAAAATAGACAAAGGCCAGTTTCGTGAAGGCTACTTCTTTTACCAGCCTGCCTTGCATGGGGGCCTCCGAACAGGGTGGACCCCACGTTCTCTGAAGGGCTTTGCCTGGATGGTCCAAGGATTGGAATTCGAGCCGGTCCTAGGTGAACGGATGGGCAGCAGGGGGCAATTTTCTGTGAATATCATTCTCTCAGTGAGCTCAGCTGCCACCATTTTCTTCCCTTTGCCCTGGGGATTTGAGCCCTAGATTCAAATAAAGTCTGTATGACTGACTGCACACCCATAATCCTGCATGTTGAAGCGTTTTTCCTTTCTGGTGTGGGTTTTTAGCTGCTTGTGGTGGCCTCGTGTTAAATCTTTTTTCTGCGCCCCCCTTTCTCCTGATACCAGAGTGCAGGGCTGAGCAGTCTGAGGTCTGTGATGGAAGCCACGGCGCCCTCACGCACGCTGAGCCCTTCCTGGGGTGGACTATGTGTAAAGGGCACACCCTTTGAGAGCAGGCCTGTCCTGCAATCTTTGTACCCAGCACCAGCCCCAGACCTGGCACAGAGTTGATCTTTCAAACATGCACCTTGATCACTGTGTTAAATGTCCTAGGAGAGAGAATGGAAAATTACAAGCTGCGGAAAAAGCAAGAACTCAGTGACCCTTCGTCGGGGGGCAAGGTGGCCGGTGGAGTTCACGAAGCCTCCCAAGCCGTCCATCAGAGGTGAGGGCTCCCCTTCCATCTGCGTGGGTCCCCACCCGGGGGCACGCTCGGCCCCTGCATGGCTCACGTTCTCTCTCAGCATCGGATGTGGCCAGCAAGTATCTGCCTCCCCAGCCGGCGTGGAGGCCCACGGGCCTCTGCCTGGCGCCCTGCTCTACACGCGGCCCCTCGAAGGGGCCTGGCACAAGGGCACGAGCGATCCAGTGTGGTGGTGGCTTCGTTTCCAGTTTCAGTGGTGCTCATAGCCCTGACACGGCACCTCCCCTCACTCACACCTTGGGTTCCCCCAGCAGCAGACCCTGGCACGAGGAGTGAAGGGCAGGATGTTTACTGGAGAGGTGGCCCCGGGAAGCATGGTTGAGGGAGCACATTTTTCAGAGATTCTGTAAACCCCCAAGGGTTAATCCCTTTTATGACGCGTCAGCCTGCGGGTGGAGTGTGTCCGCAGTAAATCCAGTCAATCGTGGCCATTCTTCTCTCGTGGCTCTAAGGTCTCAAGGACGGCTATCCGTCACTAACTCCCATGACGCAGCAGGCCCTGGGGAAAGGTCTGTGCGGCGTCTCCCATTAACCAGCTGGCCAGGGCAGCATTGACGGCCTTCCTTCCTTCGTCCAGGATGCTGGCGCAACAGAAAAAGTTCCTGGCCCAGTTCACCGTGCACCAGCGGGTCCGCCTGGACGCCTGGAAGCGGAAGGCCAGGGTCATGGACCAACTGGAAGCCCAGCTTGAGGCCCAGCTGCAGGTACAAGCTTCGGAAACAGGCCTCTGCAACGCGGGCGGTGTTTTAACGAGATGGAAATAGCAAAGGGCCAGCCTCATGATCACAGGTCACGGGGCCTTTGTGGGGGGATTGCACACCCCACTCGGGACCCCCTCAGCCCCCACTGCGTCTGAGTCTCCCTGGCTGACGCTACGTCAGCCTCACCGCTCGACTGTGGGCCTTGAGGCTGGCGGGGCTGTGTTGATCCCCACGTGTCTGCAGCGCCCGGCTCGGGCCAGGCCCTGGGCGCTGATTGGTTCCTGTCCTTTGAGGCTTCAAAAGAGAAATGAGCATCTATCTCCCTGAGTGGGACTGGCCATCACGTGGGCTGCTAACGTCAGTGCCGTTTCAGCAGTGTTGCTAGGGACTGAGGCTTGCATTTTATCTAGAACATACAGGAAGCTAAGCCCGTGTGATAGAATGTGGATATTTTACTTATTTCTTTCACAGAAAAATCTCATTAGTATGTGATTATAAAGTGTGGCTATAAAGTTAAGTGGCTGCTTTTAAAAAAAAATCAAATATCCCAGACTGAGGCACTGAATGGAATGTCGGCCGCATCACCGTAGTCACTGCTAGTGTGGAACTAAAAGCAGTGACAATGACAAGAATGACAGTACTGCTGGTTCACAGTTATCGAGGGTCTAGTATAGTCACTGAGTGGAGAGCATTACGTACACCATCTGACGTCATCGTCCTGCAGCCGAGGGGGAGACGACTACTAGTACCCCAGTGACAGATGGGGACACTGAGGCACCAAGAGGTTAAGTCACTCTCCGGGTTCACACGTTAGTAAGTCGTGGAACCCAGAAGTCTGTGCGGTTCAACTACGGAGTTGGGAGTAAAGAGTCAGCCTCGGGCGTCAGGCAGAAGTAGGTGAGATCCTGGTTTAGCTACTGCTGCCTCTGCGGCCCCCTCCGTGTTCTCGTCTGTAAAACAGGGGTCCACGGCCAATGTGAGTGAAGACACAGTCACCTAGCAGGAGCTGGTGCGAGCTCCCTATTACCTCACACTTGCCTCTGACCTGCTCCTGACCTCCCTGGAGGCTTCTGGGAGAATTTGCCTCCACTCTGGGGACGCGGCCCCCAGAGCCACCCTCAAGAGGGCCAGCCTCGCAATGGTGGAGAGGATTAGGAGGCAGAGCAGGGCACAGGGAGCCCAGCTGATCCTCTTGCTCTGCACTCAGGAAGCTGAGCAGACGTTCATCTCCGAGCTGGCGGCCTTGGCCCGCGTGCCCCTCACCGAGAGCAAACCACCTTCAAATAAGCGTGGACTGCCAGGTAAGTTATGGGAGGCGGTGCGCTGCAGCTGGGCCTCTCTGGGCTGGGGATACGGGTTCCAGTCCCACGTCCGCCACTAACTAGCTGGGTGGCCTTGGGCACCGCACTCGCCCTCTCTGGGGTTTTGTGTCCTTGTCTGTAAACGAGCAGGCGCGGTTAGGACGCCCCTGACAAGGGCCTCCTTGCACTCCTGTGTTCAGTAATTCTGATTCCTGGGCCTGTTCACCAGCTGTGTGTCATCTTTCACTGTTTCCCCACCTGTAAAAGGGGAATAAGTAAATCCCCTCCCCCTGCCTGCGGCGACTTCAGTGATGTCACAGGGTGTGGCAGCCTGGTGACAGGAAGACGTGTAAAAAAAAAGAGGTCTATTAAAATAAAAGCTGCATCCTAGGGCTGTATTCCAGGTTCTTACTGCTTCAGAAGTCTTCCATCAGCCAGCTGTGGTAGAAACACAGCGGGAGCCTGACCGACCTGAGTTCAAATCCCAGCTCTGCCACATGCTGTGTGGCTTGGGAAAGCACTTCACCCACCTGGGCCTCAGTTTCCTTACAAGTTAAATGGGTATAATAGCAGTAAGGCACTGAGTGCATACCTGGTCCACAGAGATACTCAGAAACTGTCAGACTGGGCTGGAGTGAGGCTGAGAAAAGCTGTCACTTGCCTGAAGGGACAGAGTCAATGTCTGGGTTCATGTGTTTTCAGAGAAGCCCCTAAGGACCAAAAGGAAGAAGGCCCCGCTCCGGGAAAGAGGGGACGCCGGGGGACCCAATGACGACGTCCCTGCCTCTGGGGGACACCCCTCAGGATCACTCAGGTATGACAGGGTCCCTGGCTGACTGCCTGTGGATGCTAATTGAACACCTACTGTGTGTGCATCGACAGGCCTGGAATCAAAGTTCTGACCAGCTGCATTCCTTCCATGTTTTAAGCAGCAAAAGGCTGAGCCAGCAAGAAAGTGAAGCTGGCGATGGTGAGAATTCCAAGAAGATGCTAAAGAAAAGAAGCAATCTGTAGTTTAAGGACGGTTGGGGACTGAACCTGAAGACCTGGTCTGCGTGTCGCCTGCCCCTCCCCCAGCCGTGTGAGACAGTAAACCTGGCCATCGGGGGCATGTGGGGCTGTCCCCTCTGCTCAGTCTTGCCGTGAGGGGGATGGAGAATAGGTGTGCAAGAGCCCGAAAAGGCACAAAGGAGTATGGCGGACCTGCCACCTGAGACGATTAGACCCCCAGGGTTGGAAACTCGTCTCTGTGAGTTTTGTGTCTGTAGGTTCCTCAGGGATCTCGTCCTACCTGGCTCCCTGTGCCCTGGTGCCCCCCACCTCCCCGAGCCGCCTTCCCCAGTACAAGGTGTCTCATGCCAGCTCTCCGCCTCTTGGTGACATTTTGCTGGCAGTGACAGGTCTTCAGGTGTTGCTGGTGTTTTCTGGGTCTGCGATTTTTCTCCTTCATTTCCACTGCCCTGCGCCCCCCCACCCCCCCACATCCCACCTGCCGAGGCCACTGGCTGCCACAGGGACCTCATCAGGCCCCACTCCCGTCCTTGACTCAGCCAGCAGCTAAGGCCTGGTCACTGGGACGTCTAAGTCTCAGGGCCCCAGGACCCTGGCACAGGCGATGCCAGACAGCAGCCCTGCCCTGAGGAGTGTTCGCACGGCACTGCTTCCCCGGGGAACGGCCACATGCACCACTGCCAGGAGAGGCCTTCCCCACCAGAAAGAAAAGGGGCTCTTTTCATCAAGTTCAGGGATTCTCAACCTGGGCACTGTGGGCGTTTTGGGTGAGGTAATGCTGGTGGGGGGACAGTGCTGTCCTGTGCATTGTGGGATGTTTAGCAGCATCCCTGGCCTCCACCGACCAGATGCCAGGAGCACTCCCCAGTTGTGACAACAAACATGTCTCCAAACATTGCCAGATGTCCCCTGGGGAGCGTCACCCGTGGATCTAAGTCCAAGTGCGGTGGCCCCGGGCATCAGGGAGGAAGAGCTCAGCATGTCCACAAATTCCCAGAACTTCGTGGGCTCCAGGGTCTGGGAGCCACTGTCTCGGCGATTTTACGGACCATTTATGACCTGAATTTTTATTTCTTAACGCAAACTAAACCCTCTTAGGAAACAGTGGCTCCGTAGTAGAAGTAATCCGTGATAATGGCGTGGCACCCTCCAGTCCTAACTGGTCAGCAGACGGGATTCCCAAAGTTAACCAACAGCTCCCTCTTGTGGTGAAACATAACATTTCACGCTGCACAGTCTAACAAAGCTTCCTTTATGCAATATTTTGAGAACCTGGTTTGCATAGAAGTCACTTTTATTTTTGTCACATGGGTCCTCTGCCCAGAGGCATTCTGACCGCAGACAGTACAGATCCAGCCTCACTGGCTGCCTCCGCCTCCAGCGATCTTCCATGGATAATCGTTTTACTTACGCGTCAAGCTCCCTTAGCCCAAGGGACTATGTCACAGGTCACATGCTAGGGGACACTTCCCCACCCTCACGGCCCAGCTACTGTGCTGGGCACAGTTTGGGGCGCAGAACTCGTGATAAAGACTTAAATGGCAACACCCCAATCAGGCCACTGGGCCATTTCTTTTATTTTTTCACAAGCTTTGAATTCAGAAATAAAGGGCCACAAGAAGTCAATTGTTAAGTAAAAATGGGGGTGATTACAAAGGAAAACTTTGTACAAAACTTTAAAAATCTGACTGCCCCGTCAACCTCCTCAGGGGACGAGGACACGGGCACCTGGAAGCAGTCATCGCCCCACTGTCGTCAGCCCCACATGGGATGAGACCCCTTTCTGCGTATGAACCAGGGCTGGCTGGAAGGACACACACAGACCGGAAAGACGGCATGGCCAGTGTCGAGCGCCATGGAGATGGGGGTTTCCGACTCAGGATGCAGATCACGTTTCTCTGCCTGCAGTGGAAGGCTCCCCCCTGGGGTGGGGCGGGGCAGGCTGCTCTCCAGGGTCGCCTTAGGGTGGGGGCAATGAGTCAACACCTCCTGTTACGAGTTTTGGAGTTGCCCTGCGGGCCTGAGGTCTTGGCAGTGTCCACATCGGGTCCTCGGCGATCTTCCGTCAGACGCACTCACAGACTTGCATACATAACTTAGTAACATGCATCAACTATCCTAGAACAGCTACAAGGGTGCAAAGGAACCACTCGAGAATCATGGAGCGGGGAGCGGGGAGCGGGAGGGACGGCACGCGACGAGGCTAGAACCTGTGCTCACTAAGAAGGTAATGAAGACACCATGCTCTGAGGTGGCGTCAGCATGAACACACAACTGCGGGGCAAGGGGTTTCCAAGCAAACATACCAGACTAGTACCACTTCTTCCTAAACAAGAAAGGGGAGAACATCATTGAATGTGCGCCCTCCCCATCAGTACCAAATAAAACCATGGGCGTCAAAAACACTGACAGGGAAAGGGGCAGACATTACTCCCAGAATCCTTCACTCTAGCTCATCCAACACTTCCGTGGTCAACCGAGGCTGGTGATGTTGGAGCGGCCACCAGGCGGCGCCACGATGCGGTGGCCAGTGCGCCTGGGGTTGTTGTCGTCTATCTGGGCACCTGGAAGAGGTTAAGAGGTGGTCACTTCTGTCGCCAGCGCCGCGTGCTGCTCCTGAGGGCTGTGTACCTGGCCTGTGGGGTGCTGAGCCCTTGCCTTGACTTGGGCCAGGCTCACCTCGGGGAAGGTTCCCCGACCTCCATGGGCCTCTCTGCATTCTCCTCTGTGCCCCCTCAGGCCCTGGGGTCACCCCCTCGCAGCCCTGACCACAGTGAGCTCTTTCTTGTGTGGCCTCACGTTCTTGAGACAAGTGGGCAAACACAAGTGCCTACTGTGTTCAGGCACATAAGTGGTGCTTTACCATTGGTTCAGTTTAGAGCACAGAGCAATACTACCTCCCATTTACGGAGGAGGAATTTGAAGCGCGGTTCGTGTTTCTTGGGCGACACACCTAGAGGGTGGGAAGCCAGGGTTCTGGCACCAAGGGGTTTGTCTCCAAACCCCACACCCCTAACACAGTCAGAACAAGTCAGAAGAGCCCAGTGCACCAAAGGTGTTTTATGTAGGTGTGCTTGGGAGTACATGTGCATGTATTCACGTGTGTGTGCATTTGTATGTGTACTTGTGCATGTGAACTACTCAGCTGGAATCACCCACACCTCATTTGCAACGAGCAGATCTGCATGGGGAGGGGGCAGCGTTTTTTAAATTATGCAAAATCAACCATCCAGTTTAATCGCATGCATTCGCCAAGCTCATTGTAATTTAAAGAAGATTTAAAATTCCAGCACCGAGCCCCGTGTCCAGCGCTCAGTACGTATTAAATGAATAAATCGTGAGTGACGGATGATGCTGGAAGGAGGGTCCAGTCAGGAGACTGAGGGCCCAGGACAAATCGTGCCTGGAATCTGGGTAATTTAGAATCACGCATTCCCCTCGCTTGGTCTCACTTTTCTGTAAAATAAGAGTAGGTGAGGCCCCTCCACCTGTGACATTACGTGGTCTGTTTAAGCCGCTAAGAATTTGGTGTAGAGCACTGACTGATTTTCTCTCGTTTTACTGGTCATCCGGGATGATCACGTGTTGTCCTGTCCTGGTAGTTCAGGAATCTCAAAAAAACCCAGAAATCAGGCCTAGCATTGAATACCTTTTACCCTCATAGGCACCTGTGCCTTGCTGGTTACCTGTCAGGTTCTCTGAAAATACCCATCAGACAAAAGGACATGAGTTCAATAAATCCTGCTACACTCTGTGATGTCACATCATGCAGATATTTAAAAGGACACCCGTGCAGTCGCTTCTGATGTTGGAAAGCGCCCATACTATTGGTAGCAAATGAAGTCATCTGTCCAACTGCTGTGAGGCTGGCCGCAGGCAGTGCTGGGGCCCTGAGACAGAACTGAGGGCCAAACGGGGCGAGCCAGGGTGCCTGGGGGCCCTCCCAGAGGATGATGTCATTGTTTTTCTCGTTATAAAAAGGAGGGATGTTCTCCCCATGTTCATGAGCAAGTGCGAATGGCATAGCTTGAGAACAGATCCAGTTTGCAGACACCATGAGAGATGTTGTCAGTCCCACCCAGACAGCGTGGGTCCCGCCATGGCAGCCAATCCCTGTTCTGTTGACTGAGAATCAGATGAGAAACTGGAGTTGTGTTTAGGGCCCATTTGTGCCAAAACACTAGTTTTCTTTGAATACTGGGATCACATCAGCGTACAAGCTGTCCCATGAAAGGCTATGGGAAAGTGAGATGGACAGCGGGACCCCCTGACTTAAGGCCCCCATTGCAGAGTCGCTGAGACACACTCCCTGAATGGACAGACGGTTCTGTCACCCCCATAACTTAAACTGGCATTTCATCTTCTCTTGCGCTGCCCCTTCCACTTTTCCCTTTCGCTAAGTAGATCACCTTTTCTGTTTTAACATCCATCCTCCCTCCTGTCAGACCAGGAGTCAGCAAACTAGGACTCAGTGACAAAACTCGGCCCACCGCCTGTTTCTGTATAGTCCATGATCTGAGACCAGTTCTTCCATTTTTAAATGGTTGCATTTTAAGTGGCCATTTAATATACTATCCTGTAATATCTTGGCTCAGACACCCTAAAATATTTACTATCTGGCCCTTTAAGAACAACTTTGCTGACCTTGGAACACGCTGAGGGCTGCCCATCTGTTTCATTCACCACCATATTCCTAGAACCCAGCGCAGCGTATAACCCATGCTAACGCCTCAAATATTTTGAGTCGAAATTCCAATTCAGTGTCCCCAACATATGCATGCCTCTGCCCTCGTGTGGCGATCAGGTGAAATTGCAGACACGAGACCCTGGGGCTGTGGAAAGTCTAAGGGATCACGACAACTTCCGACCTGTCCACACACGCATTTGTTGAGCACCAAGGCCTGGCAGTTTCACACTGAATTTCTCGCGGTCTTAATTTCCTCTTTAAAGACATGGAGATAATACCACTCCACACACAGGGTTGTTGTGAAGACAAAACAGTCCTGAGTTCTGACAGGGCATGATCAACTGCAACGGCTGGACAGGGTGAATGAAGACACGCCCAGCAGACACTGGCGACTCCTAGTCACCGTTCCACGTTTAGCTTCGTGGGTAAGAGTGTAAAAACGTCCCCAAGTGTGCTTAAGGACAAGCACCGGGCCAGTCTTCACGAAGACCCTTCATACACCAGGGTCAGGCATCTCTGTGTTGTCCCCATGGGCCCCCTCTGCGTCCCCAGCCCACAATGCCCCTCCTGGGAGGAGAGGTGGGGGGGGGGTCCCACGGTCCCCTCCTTGCCTGCTCATCATGTGGGTCTGTCTCCCCAGGAGTGGGTTCCTCTAGGGACCGCTGTGGGTGTGGGGGGCCTCGGCTGCTGTGGTTTCTTACCTGATAAGCTGAAGTTGGACTGGTGGAGGTTTCTGATGGGCGGAGGCTGGTGTTTGGAAGGCGAGGACTTGGCAGAGGGAGCAGGAGTTGCATATTTGGGCGTCGCTGGCACCTCGTACACAGGACCGTCGTACATGCCCCTGGGCACCCCTTGCAATCCTGAAACCTAAACATGGAGCGGGAGGGCGACTGGTGGTCAAGGTCACGCGTGCTTTCCTGTTCAGACGGGCCTGAGCCCTGCAGGCAGGAGTGTGACCTGAGGACTCACACTCACACACACACAGGTACCCTAGCCACACTTCCACATGCACATACACACATATATGATCACACACCACACAGGCACCCATTCACTCCACAGACACACATGCACACACAATTCACACACGTACACACACACACACAAACAAGCTGGCCTTTCTGGCAAACACCAGCCCTGCAGTATGGGAAGCAGGCTGTCATGGCGATGGGAAGGACCACAGTGGGGGTTTATCTGCAGTGTGAGCTTCCTCCTCTGAGCTGGACTGGAGATGGGACTGAGCCTGCTCCACGCCCTCTGACCTCACAAGTGAGCGCTGACTCTTCACGGAAAGCGGGGAGAAAGGTGCAGACAGGGAGGGAAGAAGAGGGCGACCTGAAGGGCGTCTAGATGCAGCTCTGCCAGCCCTCGAGTTCGCTAGGGGCTGTTTATTTTTACCAAAACGGCAATGCCTACGGTGTCAGAGCTTCCCCAGCTGTGTGACACTAGTCAGTCCTTCACTGCTTTGAGCCCCAGGGTTCTGATCTGCAGGAGGAGGCTCGTGACACCTCACATAGCAGGTGGCAAGAACTCCGAGACGTGCAGGGTGTGCGCCCTGATCAGTTTCACCTAGAACCCTGCCATTCCCTTCACAGTCTGCAAAGCCCTGCGGCCTCCGTGATCTGGTTGCCACCGCAGCCCTGAGACGCAGGCAGGGCAGCGTCACAGCTCACATGTGACACGTGAGCCAAGGGAGGCTCGCACAGCCGTGACCACTGCTAACGCCGCACGCAACGAACCCCAGACCCACGCACCTTGCTCCTGATTCGGACGCGCTGGTAGAGATACTCAGGGAAAGGCTTGCGTGGGAGGAAGCGGCCGGTGCCCCTGTCGGCGCTGAGGTTACCGTCCTCGAAGACAATCTTTCCCTGGCTGATGACCACCAGTGGGGAGCCGTGGCACTCCATGCCCTCGAAGATGTTGTACTCCACGGCCTGCAGGCGAGACCACCGCGCCGCCGTTACAGCGGCCTGCGCGGCTGCGTGGTCCCCAACAGGGGTCCCACTTAACCTCGGGCGGGTCAGGGCTCATCTCCCATGGCTCTGCTCCCTGAGCACGCCTTCCCTACGGCAGCGTAACACGCCAGCTCTTTCATTTGCAAAACCAAACCCTCGCTGTCGGGCATTCAGGTTGAGGGTGGTTTCATATAATCAGACTAAGATCGTCTGAGGCATCATGAAGGTGAGTGGGGGCCCCCCCGGAGTTAGGCAACGTGGCTGCTCTGACACTAACGGGCATTTTTGTGTCTTTAAAAACATGTATGTATTTTCTTTAAGATAGCTTTCTAAAATTAAATTACTGGGTCAAGGGGTGTGAGCTTTTTGAGGGCACTCTTTGTACATCGTCCAATTACACTGAGAAGGCATCAGGCCAGTTGACGTTATAACAGCAGTGGGGGAGAGACACGTCAAGATTTCATGTCTATGAAATCCCCTCCAGCACTGGGTAAGGTCATTTTTATATTTTCTTTCCTTTTATTTTTGCTAATTTGAAAGACAAAACATGTCCTTAAAAATACCCATTCTTTTCATTACTCCTAAAGCAACTATAACTAGCACTAGCTGTTGATTATTTAAAAAGCAGGTGATGTGTATAGTAAAAAAGTTAAAAAAAATCAAAAGAAACAAAAGATAGTGATTTTTAAACAGAAGCTCTCTCTCCACCTCAGACTGAGACACCTGCCTCAGGTAGTTTCATCTGTGTCCCCAGGTGGTTTCGGTACACGAGTAATGACAAGCGCTCTGGTGTTTTCACCTAACTCTGCTCCGTATCAGCACATGTACGTGGCTTAAAAACATTTTTAACATTCTTTAAGCTGCTGGACCGTACTCCATCTCAGGGATGGACGATCATTTATTTACCCAGTTCCAGGGATGGACAACTTGGGCACTTCCCTCCTTCTGCTAAACACCGTGCTGAGACACACTTCTGTGTGTTCACACCAGCGTGTGTGCACGTCTTTCTAGATGTGGAGTTTGGAGCCAAAGAGTAAATGGATTTTGCCTTTGGCAGATGCGCCCTCCAAGAAGATGGCACCAGTTTCGATCCCCAACGACAAAACGATGTGAGCTGGCCTGCCCCCACCCACCCCGTCTGACCGCACCTGCGGCCGACCATGCCCCCTGGGTCTCGGTCACTGGCATGGGTGAAAGAGAGCATCTGACTATCGTGATTTGCTTCTGGTTAATAATAACAGCGACTGGGTTTGTTTTTAAATAAATAGAAACCACTTGCATATTTCTTCTTGGGTCACTGTTTGTGGTTTTGCACCCTGTTCTATTTATTGGGTTCTTGGTATGGGTGTCTTAGGTCTCTCTGCATCCTTAGGTTTGCTGGATGAGTGAAGATGTCAAAGGCACGTAAGATGCAAAGCACAGACATAACCCGCCACCACAGGCCTGGCGCCCGGGGCTCAGGGCAGTGTGAACCCTGGGGTGTGCACACACAGCATGCTTCGGGCACAACCCTTTCCTTCGCCACGTTAGCAGTGCACACGGAAGGAAGCAGGAGGTGTCTGATACACCAGAGCAAACCCTCCCAGCTCGATAACTACACTGGAGAAAGAATCTTGGACCTAGTGCTTCCCCTCGCTGAGCCTGAGAATCTGTGGGCAGGAGCCAGAGAGAGACAGAAAGAAAGACGACAGAGCGACAGAGAGATGGGGATAGAGAGAACGTGTGCTCGCAACGGAGGGAAACCGTACCTGCTCCAACCCCATCTCTCCAACTGGCCGAGGAATCTGAATGACTGGGTCATGCCAGGTATCAGATGGCACCCCGGCTGGAAACTTCCTAAGTCATTTTTAACCAGAGGTTTCTAAAATGATCGCAAAGCAAGGATCACTTATCCAAACCAGGAGTGTGGCAAATAAACCAGGACTTACCGACTTGTGGCTCTTGGCTGTTATGGTCTTCACCCTGTCGGGGTCCCAGATGACCACATCGGCGTCCGAGCCCACGGCAATCCGCCCTTTTCTAGGGTACAGGTTAAAGATCTTGGCTGCGTTGGTGCTGGTGACGGCGACGAACTGGTTCTCATCCATTTTGCCGGTCGCCTAAAGGGAAGGCCCGCCGATGAGAGGAGCGCCCAGAGCTGGGCGGAAGGACAGACGGGCGCAACCCTACACCTGGTGGCTGGAGTCCCTGCAAGAGGTTGGCGTTTTCTCCTCTCCCCAGAAGAACAAAGGCCATCCTGAGAGAGCAGCGGGGCCTGGCTGCATCACAACGGGGACTTAACCGCTCACAGGCGGCTGACATTTGCCCAACAGCCACTATGGCATCTTGTCAGTGTCACTGGGCCCAAGTTTAATAGAAAACAAAAACCTCTGGTTTTGAGTCAGTGAAAAGTCACCTTTACAGGCACTAACATGTGGTTAGAAACAAAACATTTGTCATCCTTAAAGAGCAAGGGACAGCTGTCGCATCTGCGAGTGCAGAGGACTCCACAGGACTTGTGCCACCTTCTTAAGAGTCACATGTTAGGGCCGGCCGAGTGGCTCAGTTGGTTAAGAGCTCATTCAGGAGTGTGAGCTCTGAGCAACAGGGTCACCGGTTCGATTCATGGCCCGAGCTGAGCTTCCAACAAGTGGCAGGATGGCTCAGCTAAAAAAAAAAAAAGTCACATGTTCCCTCACGGGCCCTCCTGATATACTTCTGCTTCTGTCTTGAAGTGAGAAAGGAAGGAGTTAAGAACCAGGGCATAAAGCACTGGCTTTTGAATGACCAGGTGGGGTGCTTCTAGAATGTTCCTGGGGGGAACACATTGGGTGCCACCTTACCACCGCCTTGTCCCAGACGACGGTCATCCGCTCCTCTATCCCGTTGACGCCCTCAGGGATCAGAGTGAAGTTATCCTTGCCCACCGCCTTCTGGGCAGTGCTGTAGGGACAGTGGCCACTGCCGGTGACCTGAAGGTCTCCGCTGGCAAGGATGAAAACAAGGTGGGTTCAGACCTGAGTTCAGGTTGAAGGGCAAAGACCAACTTCAGACACCCAGGCTTGAGCTTGAAACCCCAGAGAGATTGTGGGGAGAGGGTTTAAGGCACATCCTGGGCACTAGTGAGTGACATGGGAAGGCCCTGTGGCCTTGGGTGTCCTGTGGCTCACTGGGGGAGCCCTGGGCGTTCTGTATTAGGGCAGGCCCCTGTCTGGTCTGCGTAAGGCTCCCCAGGTGTGCTCCTCTTCCTCACCTGGAAGAGAGGGATCCCACCAGGCGAGGTGCCAGGCTATCCTTCCCTGAGATGCTGTGATCCGGGGACCTCCGGGTCTGGAGAACCCAGAGGGCCCCCAAGATGCTGTGGGCGGTGCGCTCTCTGTGTTGAGACAGGAGCTGGGGGAGAAGGTGCCGGAGGCCAACGGGGTGACTCTGCTTCCTCAACTCTCACCAGATCCCTAAATAGCCCTGCTTTGATGCAATCTGGCTTTGCACGTCCCACCGACCTGCTTTTAAATCCTGGTTCGGCCCCCTCCTGGCTAGGCAAGCCGCCCCTCTTTTTTTCTTCCTGTGTAAAATGGAGAGACTGGAACCTTCCATCCGGGACCATGAGGATCAGATGAGCTGACCCTGGGCTCGCCGAGCACACGGTAGGCGCCAAATACACCAACTCCCCGCCTTCCCCTCCTCCATCCTCTCCCTCTCCTCTGTCAAGTCGGGTGCACGGTAAATTTTACGTTATGTGAATTTTACCTCACATGTTGAAAAAAAGAAAAAAAGTGCAGCCAATAAATCAATGAATGGGTGGATGGATGGATGAATGAATGAATGAGTGTAGAAATGAGTAAAATTCACAGCTCCAGCCCATGCCCGCGTGTCTCACAGAGTCAGGGACGTTCACACGAGGGGGACGCTCACGTCCGGGGCCTCGGGTCTGCACAAGCTCACAGGGGGTGACGTGAAGAGTGCTGACACTGGCCTTCTCACCATGAGGCTGTTGGATCGGGCGTGGCTGCTGTCTATGGGCTGCGCTCCCCAGACAACATGCTGCTCAACAGTTGCAGCCAAGTGACCCAGGTTCACTGGGTTGGCTTTTTCATCCCTCAGGCTGTTGAGACAATACCTTTTGCTCTATTAGGAGCCCTGAACTGGACACCTGAGTACATGGACTGAGTGGAGCGTTATTTTGTGAGGCAAAATAATGTCGGCAGAGGCCATGCTCCCACTCGGAGCCCCGGGGCATATCCGCAATCATCTACAATAGATGTACGGAAATCTATTCACTCGTGATATGCACTCGTCTATTCCACGAAGGTGTCTGCACACTTCCTGGGTGCCTGGCACGGTTTTAGGCCACGGGGGTGCATCTATGAGCAGAAACAGGCAAAACCCCTGTGTTCACTCGCTGACATTCTAGTGGGGTGGGGGCAGGGGGCGGGAACATGTGGTGAGTCAGCAGAATGTGTGCTGGGGACTAAAACAAAGTGTGGGGGGGGTGCTGGGGAAGGCTGGGGCTGCCACCATAAAGAGGGTGATCAGAACCCCTCACTGAGGAGCCATCTTCCAGGCAAGATCTGAAGGCAGCAGAGGAGTGAAGGACACGGTGTCCAAGAAGAGTGCTGGGCAGGGGTGCAGTTAGCATGGGGCCAGTGGGCCGGGCCGAGGGGGCGAGGCGAGGAGGGCCAGAGCAGCTTCGGGAGACGGCCGGCGGGACATTGTGAGGACCTGGGCTTTACTTTGAGAGATCTGTGGGGTGAGACGGAGCTTGGTCTGACTTAGGTTTTAACACATCTGGGCGCCTGCTGGGAACAGACTGACACGTGCAGGTCGGGTGGGAGGGGGGGTATGGAGACAGAAAGGCCTGTCCGGGGAGAGGACGGCAGCCTGCGCCAGGGTGGCCACGGCCAAGGGGGTGAGAAGCGGCCACATGCCAGGGCCCTTGGTCCACGTCCTGCCACCCCCTGGCAAGGCTGTGGGAGGGGCAGCTTTGTGGGGAAGGTCAGGAGTTGGTTCTGGACTGGGAGCTGCCCACCAGACATGGGGCTGCAGGAGGTGAGGGAGCCGGTGGCTGTGCAAGTCCGGGGCTTCTGCATCACTTAGGGGAAAGATTTGCATGGTGGGTACGCACCCTCGGCCCCTGTGGTTCCCTCTGATGAGAAGCCCCATCCTACCCTCGCCCATCACACGAACTCCTACTCATTCCTGAGCGCCAGGCCTGAGGTCACCTCCTCCAGGAAGCCTTCTGCACGTCTCCCGGTTCTGAGCATGCATCTTTGCTTCCAGAGCAGCCCGCACACTCAGCAGAGATCCTGCACTGTGGTCTGGAGAGCGCTCCCCTCACACTGGCTAACAGCAGGAAGGGACTGAAGCGGCTGTGCTCCTACTGTGTGCATGGAGCACAGCACAGCACCGTGGCCACTGAGTGACCCTAAATTCCAGGCCTTTTACCCACACTGTCTCATAACCAGCTCTGCGATGGGGGCTCTATTCCCCACACTTTGCCTAGGAGTGAACCGAGGCAGAGACATTGGACATGCCCCAGGTGACATCCAATTAGCGGATGAGGCAGGATTTGCATCCTGGGTGCTCCCCAACAGATCCTAGCACCTGTCACTCAGTTGGCGCTTAAATAGCTGCTGAGTGAATAGGAGGTGGTCAGGGAATGTGAATGGGGCAGTGAACGGCCTGCTGAATAAAATGGCCCCTGGGGCCCCTGAAGGCCTGTGGTGAACAGTCCCGAGCTCTGTTCTGAGGACTCCCAGAGCATCCAGCCCCAGGCCTTCCAGCCTGGGCTTCGCGCCCTTCCACCCTCCGCCCCAGAAGCCTCCTCCCCAGCTCTCACCAGGCCAGGAGGGAGGTCAAGTAGTCCGGCGTGGTGGGGTCCGGGCTCAGGGGAGGGGACGTCACGAACGCGGCCGCCTTGGCCCAGTTCTTGCTCCAGTAATGGGTGCCGTCGGTCCCCAGACTGGCAGCAATGGGCTCGCCAAAAACGAGGGGGCCTTGGGGGACAAACACAAACACGTGGTTCAGAGCGCATGGTCTCTCCTGGGAGATGCTGACGCATAGAAGTAGAGGCTCTCAGAGCCCAGAGGATGAGACTGGCCAGAGGCAACGCGTCGTGCATCCTTCTCCCAGGCTGCATCACACGCACCCGAGACCCCGGCCCCCAGGCACTCAGCACCGGGCTGACCCGCTCAGCAAGCTCTTGGTTGTTAATGCTGTAAGTGTTGAGGTGGGACTATTATCTCCTTTCATAGGCTGGTAGCCGAGGCACAGGGACACAGTCTGCTGTCTCAGCTTGGGTCCTGCCAGAAACAGATCTCCCAGTAAGGAATCGAGTTCAAGTGTTACATTTGAGAGGTGATTCCAGGACACACTGGCTGGGGACTGAGGAAGTGACGTACGGGAGACAAAGCAGCCAAGAAAAGGTGAGTTATCGAGTCACAGCTGTGGCCACCTGCAGCTCAGTGCACGGGGACTCTAGGAGACTGTGACACATCTCAGAGCCTCCCAGCCCCAGGGCTAGGGGGCTGGGATGAGCATCCAATCCACTGCTTCCCAGCATCCAATTTCCAGAAATCCCACCCTCCTTCCAGGGAAGGGGCCAAATGTGCACTTGCCAGAACAGAAGCCCACAGGCAGAGTCTCAGGGCTTCCCACTAACAATCTCTGCATGAAACACAAATGCCAGAAATATGGCCCACAGCACTGTGGCACGTGCTCAGGCCGCCAGCCCAAGTGGGAGGTGGGCTTTGGAGCAGTGGTCCAATAGCACGTTCTGCACCTGAGCCATCCAAGACAGCAGCTGCCAGCCACGTGTGGCTCTTGAGCATGTGAGATGTCGCTCATGTCACTGAGCAACGAACTGAAAAACTTTATCTAATTTTACTTGAAATCTGAACTGAAACAGCCACGTGTGGCTACTGGCCCCTTAAGCTCTAGGATTTGTATGCTCAACTCCCCTGCATGCCGGCTACTACTTCCAGATGCCTGTCACTTTTCTGAGCCTCGGTTTCCTTATCTTTAAAATGGACGTAAATCCTAAGTGAGCTGTGCTCTACTAGAGTGCTCCCTATGAAATGTCTCCGATTGTCCGCTTGCCCTCACAAAGGCTGAAACAAGGTGCTTGGGGTTAAAGCCACTTCCAGTATGTCAGCCGCCAGCACTTGAAGTTGGGATTGTTCTGAACTGAGATGCACTCACTGTAAGTGTGAAATACACACTGGATTTTGACGACAGTACAGAAAAAGGAATGCACAATATCTCACTCATGTTTTGATATTGAGTACATGTTGAAATAATATTTTGAACATACTAATGTTCAAAACATACTAAAACAAAATGTATTATCAACTTTTTGTTAAATAGAGCTTGTAACACTTCCCATAGAGGGCTCCCGTGAGAACCAGGAGCATAACGTACAAGGAGTCTGGTGGACACTCCGTAACTGTGGTTGTTTGTTTCTCACTGGCCTTCTCCACAACCACGGCTCCCCGGCCTCACACGACTCAGAGAGCATGACCCGGACTGCCCTTGTCCGGGTGGGAAGTGTCCTTGGTGAATGTCCACTAGGACGAAAGGATTCTGGCGGCTCTGTGTGTAATGAGCACGGCCCACCTCCTCCATCTGTCATTCTCTCTCCCTCCCTGCGTTTGGGAAGGAAGGCTGCTCTGGGCATCCTTCTTCCTTCTTGGTCTGCTGCTGGTTGGGGACTGTGACCTCACTGTCAAGAAGGCCCGGGGACTATACCGAGCCCCTCCTCTGAGTCTCCTGCCAAGAGGCCACACCCAGCGAAGGCCTTCACCCCCCAGTCTCAGTGAGCCAGGCAGCCTGGCACAGCGGGGCCCACTTGAGAGATAAGGACGCCATGACAGGAAGTGAATGGCTGACCTAGAGCTGAGAAGGGTGTCCTGGGGACCCACCACGGACGCTGCCTGCCGAGCACTTCACATCCATGAGCCCAGCAGGGCCGTTTAGAGAGGAGGCGATGGAAGTTCCAGGAGGTCAGGTAGCACATCCCTCTCAGAGCTGGGCAGCTGACGTCCTGGACCATATGCCACTGATGTCCAGCACAGGGCTGTCCCCAGACCCTCCGGCTCTGGAAAAACGCCTTCCTCCTTCCCAACCCACAGCGGAGACTCCGTGCGGGCCCGATGGTGGACCCTGAGTGCGGGCACCTGCCATGGGGCCCTAGACAGGGGGCTCAGGATGACGTGTCCAGGGAGAGGACCAGGAAGGGGGCAGGCAGGGTCCAAGAGCTGCTGCAGCCCCGGCTCCATCACTAACTTGATGTGAAACCCAGGAGGAAACTTTAATGTCCATAAAGCCCTTTAAAATACTCTGTCTCTTCTGACCCCAGATAATTACCCTTGCTGCAAATGAGGCTCCGATATGACTTACCCAAGGTCACACATAGGCACATGGCACCCAGAGATCAAACCGAAAACCAACTGCACATCTTGTATTCTGCCCACCGTCCCATCCTCCCTTTCCAAAATGTGTAGCAGGCCCATGGGGCTCGGGGCCTAGGCGGCGTGTCTCTGCCCTGGGCAGGAGCCCCCCCACTGAACCTGAACCTGCTGGGTACCCGCTTCCTCAGGGCCTGGCGCTGGGCTGCGCACCTTTCTTCCTGGCCAGGGTGATGATGTCCGCCGCAGTCTTGCTCATCACCTTGGTGATGTACACGGGGCAGTTGATGCGGCCCGCGATGGTGATGGCCCGGAACACGGCCTCAGCCTCCAGCTGGGGACATGCAAACACAGGGGTCACAGGAGGGGGGGGCAAGGACAGCTACCACCCACCCGATTCCCTGAATCAGAGCCCTTCGACTTTCCTTAAGTAAGTGTGATCAGAGGGAAATCTACTGCATTAGAGGAAAGTAGTGTAGATTTTAAAAAAAGGAAACATTAAGTCAACATGTATTTGGTTAGAGCAGCGGTTCTCAACCTTCCTAATGCCGCGACCCCTTAATACAGTTCATATTGTGGTGACCTCCAACCATAAAATTATTTTCGTTGCTACTCTATAACTGTAATTTTGCTACTGTTATGAATCGTAATGTAAATATCTTTTTGTTTTCCGATGGTCTTAGGCGACCCCTGTGAAAGGGTTGTTCGCCCCCCCAAAGGGGTCGTGACCCACAGGTTGAGAACCACTGGGTTAGAAGGTTGGAAGGAAGAATTATGTTCTTACGCTGCTTGGAAGTATTCTGCACGTAGAGGGGACAGACTAGGCAGAATAGGCATCAAAAGGCCCATAAAGTGGTCTGTGACATACATGAACGCATGTGTTCGCCATTCACCCATTCACTCATTCATTTATTCATTCACCAGGTGAAACTGCCTGCTGGTGGGTTTGATCTCTGCCCCTGGAGACCAGAGCTTCCTGAACAAAAGGACCCGTTATGTTTAGTATTGTTTTGTTTTTAATGTATAGTCTGGTGATGCCCCAAACACGGTCCTGCTGCCCGTGGCTGGCACTGGCGGCAACGCCCACATGACATGAAGGTTGTGAACATTGTCTCTAGGTCTGTCCCGATCTCACCAGGGTCCAGGAGCAAACAGCCTGTGGGCCGTGGAGCTCACGTGAGGAGCATGGGGCTAGATCAGCAGCCCCTTGGGGGAGGAGCCTGTCTACTCTGTGCTGTGTCCCTAGCATCCAGCAGAGGGCCAGGCCCACAGCAGAGGGCCAGGCCCACAGCAGAGGGCCAGGGAGACTGCTTATGACCTGATGGAAACATCCTCAACGCCAAGGCTTCCAGGATGCCTGTCCTGTTCCACGCCCAATCTGTTTACCTCTCTGCCCCCCAAACACACACGCACGCGCGCGCGCACACACACACACATATGCATACTCACACACACACACACACACACACACACACACACACGTGCGCGCACGCACACACTCACACACTCTGCCACTCCCAAGGGAACTCATCATTTTCAAGTCTCAGGAACACAGCGGACAGCATGCAGGGGGCAGCTGTTTCGTAGGCGCAAGGCCTGGGACACATGGCTCTGCTGTCCTAGCATCAAATACAAAAAGTCCTTGGTAAGGATCCCTGAAGTGTCCATGGGGCCTTGGTGCGACGCTTCTGGACCCTGAAGGCAGAGCCTCCCCCTGGCTCCCCGATTGCCCTGCAGCCCCCAGGGCTCCCGAGTCAGAGGGCAGGCCCGAGGGAGCGTCACGTGTGCTGGTCTGCTTGCGTAGGGGGAACGGGAGGCAGACGGGGGCTCTGGCTGGGCTGTTCCAGCTGGCGCAGCATCAGTGAGCCCAGCAATGTCGGGCCCATCGGGTGCAGGCTCCTTTACCTCCTCAGGTCTGCTCAGAGCATGGCCTTCGGGACCCGTGATGCCCATCTCTAAGATCCGCTTTTGTTCCTGCAAGAACAACGAGTCAGGGATCACAGAACATCACAGCCAACGGAGGCCGGTCCCCCAACCCCCATTAGACACATGGGCAGCTGAGCCCGGAGCGTGAGTGGTCTGAGGGATCTATCTTGGGCTGCGGGCCATCCAGTGCTGCCCGCTCCCCCCACTGCACTCCTTCTCCACCTTCGCAGCTCCGAATACCTACACCCACAGCTGCTCGCTATGCAATCCCTCTGGGACCAGCCAGAGGAAGCAGAGGGATAAGAAATGAGCCTCCAAGACCACTCCCATCCTCCCAGGGTCTGAGTCTCTGCTGCAGGGCTGTCCTTGGAAGAAAGCTGGTATTGGGTATTGCATGCATGTGGGAATCTGCTGCAAACCTGACCATCTCCGTAACTCTGGGCAAGTTGGTCAAGCCCCAGTCTTCTCTTCTTTACATTGGGGACAATAGTGCCTGCACCCCAGTCCCCCTAATGAATCAGTGAGGCAGCACATGTGGAACGCCTGCCTGCACAACACCTCACGTGTAGTCAGACCTCATGACTTGGCAGCCGGCTCTCATCCTCTCCCCTCGTTTCCTCTTCCTGGTACCTGTTTTTCTAGCAGGAAACCTCTACCTCGAGTTGATCATATAACCTTGAAATGGTTCCCTGAGCTAATGACCCAGATTCAAATCCATCCGCTCCAAGATTTTCTCGCCCCAGGAATACTTTAATTTCTCAAAAAAAAAAAAAATTATTTTTACTTTGCCCAGATGTCAGCTGTGCTGCAGCTAATTTTAACTTCCGCTGTTTCTGTACCATCATTCTTACCATGAGCTCTGGGCCATATCAGCCATGAAAAGAAAAAAAAAATCACAATTTCCACTGCATCTATTAAACTGGAAATAATTTCAAGGTCTAACGGCTGGGCTGGATCTAAGTAAACAGCGGAATAATTTCAGCGACTGAAGATGATGTTTACAAAAGCATTTTTGTGAACTGTTTATAAAAAGATTTTATGATGCAGAGGGATCTCTGTGCAAGATTGTTTAAATGTCTGTGACTACTTCTGTTGGGAGGGAAGGAGGGAGGGCGGAAATGACATAACGGGAGGAGAACACAGATCACAGAAAGGCTCGAGTAAGGTTTCTAGTTAGACACCAAGGGCTGCGCACGTGCATCATTTTCACTCCCTTCTGAAGCCCCACTAAAGTGACAGAAAAGGCACGCAAGCGCCACGAGAGTGCAGAGAAGACGACAGAAACAAAATTTTGGAGGCCGAAGCAGAAATGCAGAGGTAACAAATGTATTGGAGCTGAGAGAAAGAAACGTTAAGTCGGCCGTGAGGGAAGCTAAGACGCCCCTGATGCAAAGCTTAGGAACTGGGGGTTCCAAGCTGGTCTTCTTACACACCACGGGTGGGGTGGAAGCTGGTACATCCTGGAAACCTGTTTCGCAGTAACCAGTAAAGCTAAATCGTGCATACCCATCCCCCAGCAATTCTACCCCTAGGGACATGCTAGCAGAAATAGGAACATATGTTTAGCAAAAGATGGAGCCAGAACATTCACGGAAAGTTTGTATGCAATAGCCCCACATTCCAAACTATCCAAATATCCACCACCTGGCGAAGAAACTGACACGTTCATGCAGCGGAATTTGACACTGGGATGAAAAAGAAAAGGCTGCTGCTTCGTGTAACAACTGGGATGAGTCCCACCGACCTGGTATTGGGAAAAGGAAGCAGACGTAAGAGGCACGTACTGTGCGCTTCCTTTTTTATGATGCTCGAAACCAGGCAAAACTGAGATGTGTGTGGCAGGCGACTTCTAAGAAGCTCCCGATGAGTCCTCTCCCAGTTTCCACGCCCTTGTGTAACCCCCTCTCCTCGTGGATTACACAAAAGGCCAAACCCTCCAAGGTTCACAGGGCAGCTATGTTCCCCACACTGTACAGGTGAGCAAACAGAGGCCCGAGGCCATGTGGACAGCGAAAGGCCTCCTGCAGATGGTGTGTGCTCGCCTCACATCCGGTCCTTGGCTGGGCCCTTAACTGCCTAGTCACCTCACTACTCAGTGCCGACACCCCCCTTCTGTCATGCCCTTTACAATGAGGAGGAGCAGGCTGAGGTGCAAGCGGGGGACACACACCACTCACCTGAGCTATCAAATCTCCATTTTCCGCGTGGACCAAGATCACAGCTCCCAGCCCCTTAAGGAAGGTGAAGGCTTCGTAGAGCTACAGGGGTGTCAACAGGGACCAGGGTGAGAGAAATGATCAAGCAGGAGCATCTGCCGAGACGGCTCTGCTGCGCACACCGTCATCCACCCCCAGCCCCGGCAGGGACAGCACACCGCTCCAACCATGGCAACCGAGGGTCTTGTTCAACAAGGAGGCCTTGGGAAGGGTCTCCCCTGACCTTGGGCCCCTCCAGATCTGAAAGCAGGAGGCCGGGGTCGGGCACACAGTGATCAAAGTCACACCATGGCCAGATGGGCCCCTCCCTCTGGGCGCCATCCATACGTTTTGCTTTCCCATTGGATTTGCTCCACTGCAGGGCCTGTTGATGGTGACAGCTGGTGCTCAGAGGTCGATTCTAGTTCTACTGAACTTGTGTAACTAAACCTGCTAAGCCTGCACTGCAGCCACCCACATACCTCGGGAGGTGTGTACATCTTTACAACAATTGTAACCCATGACATCTGATAGACAGTGGGGTGGGGGAGGGAACACGTTCTCCAATCACTCCAATACTCAGGTAATATACACCTGCCCAGCATCACCTCACTTAGCCAGCACAGGCCCTGCCCACTGCCCCATGCCCGCTTCCCACCCGCAATGGATCCGATCAGATGTTTGCACCTGCTGGGGACCAAAGCCACCATGTTCCCTCTCCAGGGGCTTTCAAAGTTTAACTTTGTTCTTCACGTGTGCAAGACAACACTCCCCACGCCCCCGCCCCTGCCCCAGGATGTGTGCTTTCAGAGGTAGACAGCAGGTGGGGGAGGCACTGGGGGGCACGAAGCACCTTTGAGGACCTACGTCCACAGTCCGCTCGACTCCAGCTATAAGGGGGGCTCCGGTGGGACAGACATGAGAATGAAACAGGTGAGTCTCAACTATGCTGGAGGGCCGCATGCTACTCCTTCCAGGAAACGGAACCAAGTTTCAGCTTTGTGAATGCCGACTGATGATTACATCAAAGGCCTTCAGGGCATCTTGGAGTAAGATTGTCTGTCTGTAACTCCATGTTTATTTTGAAAGGCAGGACATGCGCTCCTCCCACTGATATGTCAAACTCCATGATAATAATGATTGGGAGCTTATTAACACCCACAAGGCACCCACTGTGTGCCAGGCACTATCCTAGAGCTTTACCTGTACTCAATCATTTAATCCTCCAACAACCTCTATGAGGCAGATGCTATTATGAGCCTAAAGCACAGAGAGGTTAGGAAAGCTGCCCCAGGATGCACAGCAAGGCCAGGATTTGCAGTCAGGCAGTCTGGCTTTAGCATCCACGCTCTTCACTGCCACACTGTCCCACCTTTTTAACAAGCTGAGGGCAGGACAATGATAACACAACAATACCAGGAGTCCCAGTGGTGTAAAGCCAGGAGCCCAAAAAATAGTAGCCCCAACACCTGCACTGCTTAGAGCACTGTCTTCTTTAGCTCATTTCACCCACATAACAAGTGTTTGACGTTGGCAGGGCCAGGGATGCTTATGTCTTCCCGATGAGAAAACTGAGAAAGGAGGTGATTTGCGGTTGGTTCGAGGGACAGCCAGGGTTCTCCTCCAGGGTCACTCCTCATTGAATGGTCTCTGACCTGGCCTGAGGCCCAGAATCAACTTTGGAGTTTTCGAGAGGTACAGAACCCCGAGCCCTACCCCGAGCATCTGTGATGGGATCTAAGAGTCTTTTTAATGAGCTCTTCGGATGATGCTGAAGGTGGGCCAGGTTTGGGACCCACCATGCAAGAGATCCCCTGCTCCCCACCACTCAGGTTGCCAGAAAGGAATGCGGGCCCAGGAGCGGTGATGACTGACACGAGGTCACACAGCAATCTAGTGTCAGAACCAGGACGTGACCCAACGCCCTCCCCTGCCAGTTCTGACCTCTCCCTTGCCCTGTGCTGCCTTGCCTGAAAAGCTGGCCCACCCCTGCCCAGGGAGAACAGGAGGTGTGCAGAAGGACCTACCTGGCTATCAGACATTTGGTAGAGATCCTTATAGGCCATGTAGACTTGGAAGGAATTGACACCTGTGTCAAGACACAAAGACAACAGAAAAATGCACTTAAGTAAAAAGAAGCATGTCTTTCCTGTAAACTGGTGATCATGGTAGACTGGTGACCACCAGGATAGAAGGGTGCCATTGGGATTCACAGTGGGGGCACCTTGCCTAGCCTGGGGGTGTGGGCCAGGGTCAGAGGAGGAAGATCACACCTAAGCTGAATCTGGAGGAGGAAGAAGGGACAAAGGGAGCGGGGAGAGGGGAAGGGAGGGGAGGGAAAGAGGGAGCCGTCCGGCTGAGAGGGAGGGGCGTGCAGGTTCACGGACAGTAGGCAGGTAAAAGCACATTAGGTGTGCAGGTACTAGAAAGTGTCCTGTGGCTGAAGCAAAGGGAACACATGCTTTTTAAAAAATCCCCTGTATTTTTTTTATTGTAGTGAAACACCAATAACAAAATTCACCATCATAGCCACTTTAACGTGCACAATTCAGTGGCATTTCGTGCACTCACTATGTTGTGCGGCCATCACCTCTATCTAGTAGAGCACATGCTTTAGAAGGGAGCGACATGATCAAACTTTTTGTCTCAGGCTATTCTGGGAGCAGAGTGGAAGCTGGGTGGGCAGCACGGCAGGAGAAATGGAGACAGGCAGGAGGAAGCTGCAGGCAACCTGCCCAGGCGCGCTATGGCGCTGGGCCAGGGCGGCAGCTGCAATGATGAGCTGGCAGGGATGCAAAACAGGCTGAACTGGGGCCGGCCGAGTGGCTCCGCTGGTTAGAGCGCGAGCTCTGGGCAACAGGGTTGCCGGTTCGATTCCCACAGGGGCCAGTGAGCCGCGCCCGAGCTGAGCTGCCGCTGAGATGGTGACAGTGCGTGCTCTTAACAACAGGGTTGCTGGTTTGACTCCTGCATGGGATGGTGGGCTGCGCCATGTAATGCTCACCCATTACATGTGCTATGCGATTGTTGACGGACTCGGGAAGCATTTGGATAAGCAGATGAAGAAGTTAAGGCAGAAGGATTAAATGGCATCGAGGCTTCTTTTATACTAAGCAATAGTGAAGACAAGCCAAAAATCTTTCCTTGGGCAGAAAATCTTGGCAACGAAAATTTCCTTTCCCAAAAGAGCAGGAAAAGTGGAAAGAAAAAAACAACTAGAGATTAACATAAAAGTATCAGTTTTGAATTAACCAAGTAGGACTAAATAAAAATAACAGAATAACTGATTGGTGTTACATTCCTTGTAAACATAAACCCTTTTTTAAATACAAAAACTTGGTATTTAGATATAGATACACTATCAATGGGTAAACAGGTAAAACTGAAGTGGCAGGTAAATTCATAGCCTTAAATGCTTCATTATTTCTTAAAGGGATGGGGAAGTAAGCTTCCATGATAAGAAATTTGAAAAGAAGAAAATGAAAATTCACTAGAAATCAGACGTAAACAATACACATAAAAGCAGAAAGAATTCCAAAACATGGTAGAATTAGCAAAAACACCCTAGATCCAGTACTGGGGCTGGGTGGGTAGGATAAAGCTTTCTCAGATTTAGAAACCTACGTGAAAAATCATGAAAGATTTCACTTGTTATTAATGGAAATCTTCTGTAAGTTAATTCTTAGAAACTCAAAGTAAAAAGCAAACAACCAACACAGTAAGCATGTCTGCAACAAATTTAACAGAGGTTTAAAAACACCTCTTATTTAAAACACAGCAGGCAGTGGTTACTTTTGGGGGCAGGGTGGGGTGACAGGGACCAGGGAGCTGGAGTGGCCAGCAAAGTTCAATTTCTTGCCTGAGTGGGGTAACCTCATAATAATTCATAGAGCCACATTTTCGCTCTGTGTGGTTTTTCTGTACCTATTTTATGTTAAAAAGATTAAAATAAGAGCAAAGAAGCAAAAACCACCACAGGGCACTCATGTTTAGACATGTTTAGACGTATGTTTAGACAACTGAAGAAAATAATGGCTAACTGATAAAGATAAGGACAAGATTTGTAAACCTGGCGTCCTAGTAATTCAAATGAAAACCTCAGTATCGTACCACATTTTAAAATATGTTGCCAAATGCTAGAGAATGCGCATCAAAATGAGTCTTACACAGCAAATGACAGTGAAAGCTGGCACGAGCAATTTGCCAAAGCTTATAAAACCAACTGAATACTATGCATCAGGAGTCATATAAATGTTTCCATGTGTTTGGCATGATAATTCTACTACGAACACTAGAACTTCCTGTTACTCTCTAGTCCTGACTTCCTGTTAAAACTTTATGGTTCTTAACTTCCTGGGGGAGGGATATATACATATATATGGGGTCATCTTGGGAGGGGGTCACTTTTGCACGTGAGTGGCCGTCCTCACACTGCTGCGGTGGTTTTTTTTTTTTCCTTTTCCTGAATAAACCTTCCTTTTTGCGGACTACCTGGAAAATTATTTGCTGTGATGACACCCATTAAACAACTCCCCATTCCCCTCCCCCGGCCGCTGGCACCCACCCTTCTACCCTCTCTCTCTGAATCTGACTCCTCTAGGCACCTAGAGCGCAGTCATACAGCGCTTGTGCCTTCGCGTCTGCCTTCCTTCACTGAACATCAGGTCCTCAAGGCTCATCCCCAGTTGTAGTGGGTGTCAGAATGTCCTTCGTTTTTATGAATAACAATCCACTGAATGGATGGACCACATTTTGTTTACCCATTTTCCCTTCGGGGGGACATCTGGGTTGTTTCCTTCTCTTGGCTGGAGAATTAACACGGAGCCCAGGCGGTGGGGCTCGTGCTGTGGATGAGGCGCCACTGAGCCAGCCTCTGACAGTTCAGCGAGGTGACTCGCCCAACGTCACACAGCCAAGAAGTCCAAGGGCAGGATTCGATCCCAGGCAGCCCGACTGCAGAGATCTTTCTGCATCCTGCTGCGTCCTGTATATTATGTGACACGTCATTTCATCGTGCACTTGTGTGAGAGACAGGGAGACAATGGTGAAGTGGCCCAACTTCAGAAGATGAAGCCACATTAGAGACAGAACCTACATCTCAACCGTCTGGGGCCGGCAGGACAGGGTCGCTGCTCCCGCCTGGCCTGTGCTCCAGGAAGTCACCCCTTTCACCACCACTTCCCATCCCCCCACCTCCAACAGTCCCCACACAGATGGAGGGCAGGGAGCACCCAATGTCCACGTCTAGCTCTTGGCCCTCTAGAAATATTTGCAGCCAGAAGCATGGACATCCTTACAGAGTTGTCCTTTCTCCCACAGCTCTGTTTGAAATAGCAAACAATTGGAAATAGCCTGCAGTGGGGTCTGTGATGAGCCCCAAGGTACCCCTTCAGGAATGAAGGACTCACCCCCGACCCCCAGCTGGGACAGCTGCAGGCAGGTAACCCTCAGCAATCAGCGTTGTTGAGCCACCTTCCCCACCCCCCTTCCAATCCTCACCACCCACCCCCACATGAAGACAGCAGCCTAGCTCAAGGTCATGCACCCTATGCCCGGTTGACTGGAATATGAAGTCCCCTGCCCCTGTCCTTCCTCAGGATAAATGTGAAGGGCGTCCAGATTTCAGAGCTCCCTGTGGCCAATCCTGCTTTCTTTGGGTCGCTCCTGACATCACTCCGTGGGGGACAGAATAAACATGTCCACTCCCTAACCCCCAGAACCTGTGAATATGTCCTTCCCAGACAAAGGGACGCCACAGAAGGGGTAAGATGACGGACCCTGAGACAGGAGAGCATCCTAGATTTTCTGGGTGGGCCCAGTGTAATCACCAGGCTCAGAGAAAGAGATGTGAGGACGGAAGCAGGGGCTCAAGGGACACGGGCGGTCATCTGAGCAGGAAAAGCCAAGGCAAGGATTCTGTCGGGAACCTCCAGAAGGAACGCGCCTGCCAACACCTTCATTTTAGCCTGTAAGACCCATTTTGGACTTCTGACCTCCAGAACTGTCGTTTGTATTATTTTAAACCAAAAGGTGGTGGGTGGTGTTCCGGTAGCAACAGGAAACTAATACACACTCACTTCCTGCAGGCCAATCCCTGTCTCCAAGTTTGCTCCCTGGGGGTCCTGACGATAGTTTTTATAAAAATTTGCCAACTGGTGATAGATCAACCCAGCACCTCCATAAAAACGAGATACATTATGAGAAATGAGGTGTGTGCTGACACGGAATGATAATAAATTAATAACTGATCATATAGATTCCTGACCACAGGCCAGGCTGCTCGAAGCCTTGACATATATCCTCTCATTGGATCTTCAAAACAACCTTTTTATTCTCCACCTTCCGGATGGAGAAACTGAGGCAGAGAGGGCAAATAATTGAGCCAAGGTCACAAAGTTGCTAAGTGGAGGAGTCTGGTTGTCCATGACATTTTATTGAGTGAAAAAAAGCATATTGCAGAATATTATGCATATTATACTTACATTTATGTAAAAATTGCATATGTGTGAGTATGCATACACATATACAAATAGGATATGCATATACATAGTCAAAGGGGTTGTATATACACATAGAAACAGAAAAAAAGCCTGGAAAGGCAAACACCAAATGATCGCTTCTTTAGATACTTTCATATTGTTCCAATAAACATGTACTAATTCTGAAAATCAAAAAGCATTTTACAATACAGCCTAGACACTGAAAACCCATGAGTTCACCTAAAAACTCCAAGTCTTTTCCTTGCAAGTTTCTAGTCAAGGGAAGAAAACAGCTCTCTGCCCTCTTCCAGGACACTGCAGTGATGGAGACCCCACCAGGTCACCTCCCCAACAGAGCGCTCGCCATGATGGTTTATAACCCCGGTGGTCCCACCCCGAACCCCTCTCCATGTTCACGTCCATAGTTAGGCTGTTTAAATGGACTTGATGAAGTCCCTGGTGACATGGACAACTGCTCAGGATTTAATGCTCGGTGAGGAAAGCAAGGTAAGGTCGTCCCACTTTATCCATGATGGACACGTTCCAAGACCCCCAGTGGATGCCGGAAACCGCACACAGTACCAAACCCTATAGGCACTGTTTTTCCCCTATACATACTTATGATAAAGTTTAATTTCTAAATTAGGCACAGTAAGAGATTAACAACAATAAATAATAACAAAATAGAACCATCATAACAATATACTGTAATAGAAGTTATGTAGCTGTGGTCTGTCCGCCCACAAGTATCTTTGTGTCTCCCACCCACAAATCTAACGCCTTTTCCACCTTAACTAAGCACTTATCACAGTGTGGTTGTAACTTTCGCAGTTTGAAGTGCGACTGCAAAACTAGCATGAATTTATTTTTCTTTCTTCACAGTTTCATGGATAGAAGATTCTTTTTTCCTGTAGATCTTAGTAACCTCAGCATATGCAGTCAGACAATTAAGTTCGCGAACTCATCCTAGAAAAAATGCTATATAGTTCATTGCTGAATATTCCTACGGTCACCTTCGAAGTACTCCCCTTGGGAAGCTATGCACCGACACCAGCGCCTAGTCCACCCTTCAAAGCAATTTTAGAACTCTTTTTCTGGAATGACTATCAGAACTGTTGTCATATTATCTTTGATGTCCTAAATGTCATCAAAATGTCTTCCTTTCAATATTTCCTTTATCTTTGGGTAAAGAAAGAAGTCATTGGGGGCCAGGTCAGGTGAGTAGGGAGGGTGTTCCAATACAGTTATTTGTTTACTGGCTAAAAACTCCCTCACAGTCAGTGCCGTGTGAGCTGGTGCATTGTTGTGATGCAAGAGCCATGAATTGTTGGCGAAAAGTTTAGGTCGTCTAACTTTTTCACGCAGCCTTTTCAGCACTACCAAAGAGTAAACTTGGTTAACTGTTTGTCCAGTTGGTACAAATTCATAATGCATAATCCCTCTGATATTGAAAAAGGTTAGCAACAGCGTTGCAACAAGTTCTCGAACTTAATTTTCAGACATTGTATGATTCCTTTCCTTATTAAGCCAAGAATTTCCACCTTTTCACTTAAAGGAAGCACTTTACGGCTTCTCTGTGGCACATATGAATTGCCAGCATCACCACTCTTGCACTTTGCGGCCATGATTAAGCAAAATAAGGGTGGCTTGAACACAAGCCCTGCGACCATGACAGTCAGTCTTACATCTGAGATGGCTCCTCAGTGACCAATAGGCGGGGAGCACACACCAAGTGGAGACTCTGGACAAAGGGAGGGTTCATGTCCCAGGCTGGACAGGGGGTGGCCTGAGATTTCATCCTGCTATGCAGAATGGCACACGATTTAAAACCTGTGAATTGTTTATTTCTGGAATTTTCCATTTAATATTTTCGGACTCTAGATGACTGCAAATAACTGAAACTGTGGACAGTGAAACCGCAGGCAGGCAGGGCTACTGTACAAAGTTGTAAATTCCCTTGGCTTATGATTCTGTGAAAACAAAGAGTGTGAGTCACAGCACCTGCAATGGAGGCACCGGTGAGGCCATCTTGATACGGAGAGCTCAGACACGCAAAAAATCCAAACACGATTGGGCATTCTCATAAGGAAAGACCTACACAAAACGTTTCACGCAATCAGCAATTAAAGTACTGCAATGTACAGTGACAGGCTGACTCTCAGCCGTCCAATGAGCAAGGCTTTTGTAGAAACAGTCACACCCAACGGTGTGAACACGAAGGGCGCGCGACTCATGGGCGTGCGAGCGGGTGCACCTTCCCGGAAGGTAATCTGGCACCAAGTGTCCTGATCTCGGAAAACATTAAAAACTTGACCTCACAATTTCACTTCCGGAAATCTAAGGAAATAATTGGAAATGCAAACTAATGTTTATACACCCAGATGTTCACCACACCATGATTTACAGTAAAGCAAACAGAAAACCTAAGGGCCCAATAAAAAGAAAAGAGCTAAGCAAATTTACCATAACTGTATATTATGAGCCATTAAAAAGTTACTAACGAGGAGTACTGATTCCTCATACAATGTGAAGTGAAAAGAGAAAGACTCCAAATAACTGCTATATAAGGAGAAATTCATCTAAATAGACAGGGGATGGGAGGCAATAATCTTTAACATTAATGGCATGTGGCAGCTGGGGACAGGCCCAGGGGAAAAACTTTTTTTTCCCTTACCTCGATTTTCTGTCTTTTTTGTATTGCGGTAAGATACTTTTATAACAAGAAAACATGGCATATATGTTTTAAAAATGGAAACCACCCCCTAGCTCTCCCTGAAACATCACATCCACTTGAGGCTGCCTCCTCGGCCAGCCTCAGGAACTGCCCCTTTCCAGGCTGACCACTGGCACCACGGTTCTCCCCGTGCTCTTGGTCTTTGCTTCCAGGTGTCTGCAGTTCAATTCACCTCCAGCTGATATAATGTGCACTGTATAGTGTCTACACTGTCCAGAGACACCCGGTGTGAGCCCAACAGAGGGGAGCCAGGGTGGGAGACAGAAACGGACAGACACAATCCCCTCCTGCACAGAGCTCCGGGTTTAACGGAAGAGCCGGCAGACAGCCAGTGTCCCGTACTCCAAGAACAATGCATAAGGTGCCCCCAAAGAGGCCCAAGCACACTGCTATGAATATTCAAGGGATGAAGCAGTTCTGACTGGGGGAAATGGAGAGGTAATAGCTGAGCTGGGCAGCAGAGGAGATGTCCTGGCAGAGGAGACAGCATGAGCAAAGGCCCAGCGGCGTCGCAGGCTTTAGGAGATGGCGTTCAGGACAAGAAGTACCCAGATGAGTTTGAAGCAGAGAAAGAAACGTGAGGCTAGCGCATAGATCACTGCAGGCCTGTGTGCCAGGATGATGAGACCTGGCTGCATCATCTGACCAGGGGATACCCCGAAAGGGCCTGAAGGGGAAGAAGACAGACTCCTTAACGAGGGTCCTGTTTTTCCACTGTTTATGTGGCTGCATGCAGCTCATAGCTGGGCTCACAGCAGATGCAGACAAAGGGATTTTAAGCCATACAATCAGATCCACCAAAGAAACAGGAATTCCAGAACTGTGCCCCCCTGCTGGGGCTTTAACTGACCTTTGTCCTGCACCAGCACTTCCAGCTCCTCTCGAATGCCATCGTACCAGCTTGTGATGTCCACATGGAGGGAGTAGTCACAGCAGGATTTGGTGTCAGCTGCTTCATGCCATTTCTCAAAGGCGGTCAGGAGGCTGGACCCAGGGTCAGGGACCACATGGTCAACTGGGACAGAAAAGTATGTCAACATTCCAAGTCTTTAGGATGCGAGTTATTCCAATGGTAGCCTCTTTGCCAC